ACTTTTGTGTGCTATTGGTTGGAGGCTATTTTTCAGTGTTTGGGAAAGGCTCTTTCCTGTTTAAACATGACAATGCCTCTGGGCACAAAGCAAGGTTAAAGGACAGGTTCACAATTTTTGTTTGTCTTATAACAATAGCCAGGTGTCCATATGATCATTGAAACAGCTTTTTGTTGCTGCAATCGTTCTTTCTGTTCATTGGGCCCTAATGCGCTTTCAGTGTAGATGTTTGGGGACAAAATCTATAGACTTCGTTCTGAAAAATGCATTCAGAGTTTTGAAGTTTTGTACCGAAAATACTTTGATATCCACTTGATTGACATATTAGCTTCAGAATCGCTTCTGAATAAATGTATGCATGGAACAAGGGCTATAGATTTTGTCCGCCATCACTTGGAATAACATTAGGAAGGGATTTTATTATGGCCAATATGAGCAGGAGGAATGATTACAGCAAGCAAAGACCTGTTTCAGTGTTTATGTGGGCAACTGACTGGCCTGCACAGAGCCCTGACCTCAACCCCAGGCTTCCTCTCGAGACATCAGCGACCGACCCCACAAAAGGTCATGTGGGTGGATGGGAGTCAATCCCTGCAGCCATGTTCAAACATTCCCATAAGACTGGAGTCTGTTACAGCAGCGAATTAATGCCTATGGTTTAGATTGAGATGTTCTACATATGGGTGTAATGTTCAGGTGTCCACATACTTTTGACCAATATACAGTTGCACTCCTCTCTCATACACCTGCTTCCTCTTTTCCATCTCGTATTTTTTATGTCTGTGAGTATGTATGTGTGTGTGTGTCTCCTTTGCAAGCACAGGTAATAGTGAGGAAAGAGGGGGAATGGGAAGCAGTTTTTCAGTGTCGGCACTGATGTGGCCATCCTTTGAAAGTGCGAGAAGCAGAGAGGGAGAAATGTGCCTCGCCAGCAAAAAAACAGCATCTGGCGCTGAAGTGCAGTTTCAGCAGAGAGCTGGTGGCATTCACAGGAGTTCGGTCTGCTTCACAGAAACATATGAGGGCAGCTTATCTGACAGGCGCACACACACACACACACACACACACATACATATATATATAATATATATATATATATATATATATATATGTATATACACACACATACAGAGCAGGTTGATAGTGCTGACAGCAAGGAAGCATTGCTGCCGTCTCTGTGTGTGTGTAGCTGGCTTCAGGGTGGCCTTACTGTGTACCTTAGAGACTGGTTAGCTAGACATCTCCATGTCTGTGTGTGTGGCAGTCGGTGACTGATGGCGGGTCCTGGCTGCAGGCTGCTCTGGCTCACTTGTGTCACACTTGCTCTGACAGCCAACTGTGCTGCAGTGACAGGTAAGCACTTTCCAGGAGTGAACAAAGAACCTGTAGCAAGGGAAAGAAAATGTAATGTCTACAGCATAGAGCACAAGTTATTTTTTGCCTCAGGATATGGATGGTTGTATTTTTATTAGAATGATGTTTCCATGTTGATTGCTCAGTGTAAAGTTTGCTGACTTCTGAGATTTCTTTTTCATAGTCTTGTGGAACCTGACAGGTTCAGCCAAAACTGTAAGCGTAATTGAGTGATACCTAAAACTGTTGTGCTGTTGGTAACCCTGTAGCAGCCACTCCAAGTGTCACAGCTATCACACCGACCAGAACTGATGTGATGTGAATTGCAACCGCTGCTCCGTCTCCTGCTGCTCGTTAATGATTGTTAACAAATGTAACAATCTGCTGCACTGGAAGCTTTGATTCGCCTTGATTCACTGGGTTTGACTTGTGAGGTCAAATATCTGTGTTTGCATGCAGGGTAATTGTGTTTCTGGTTGGTAGTGAAGCTTTTTGTGTGTGCTGATGTGGTTGGTGTGTGATGATCAAAGAGCGACGGGACTGTAAGTTAAAAAAATTAATCTTAGCAAGTTTCACAGGTCACTAAAACACCTTCAGACGCTTCATGTAAAGCAGCTTTTCTTCCCACTCGAAAAGAATTGTGTGTGTCTGTATGAGCTAATTTTGGTGTGTTTCTGGTGGTGTTCGCTGTGTAGGCCCTATGTGCTAATGGGATCATCAGGCAGCATCTTGCCCTTGTGTGTGTGTGTGTGTGTGTGTGTGTGATCCTCCACAGACGGCGCGTGCTCCACACAGCTCTTGGTTGGCTGCAGTGTTGGCACTGTGTCTGGTTGGCTTGGCGATAGCGGTGACGCTGGGGCTGGCGCTGGCTGTAGCCAAGCTGCGAGAGAGGCGGCAGACGGAGGGAGGTTTCAGTCTACAGCAACTCGAGGCTCCTGGTGGTTGCAACCCACCTGCTGAGCTGGGAAACACATCCATCAGCACTTTGGCAGTGCCCGTGGAGCGCCTGGTGTAGTGTAAAGCAGTGAGGAGAGGAGAAGAGTGTGTCTGTGTGTGAGAGAGACACAGAAATACAATTCATGTATGAGATTCTTTTAACCAAAACAGCAGTTTAAAATGTTCACCTACTACCTGATTCTGTCTCTTTCCCTCCTTCCCTCCAGTTGACCTCTGAGGGTTTGACCTCTGACCTCTTACTGTCCATCAGTCTGGGGTCCATCGTCCTGCTACTCATTCTTATCCTCACCTCCATCAGCCTGGTGATGGCGCTTAATCGCCGTGCCACCCACGGCACCTACAGTCCCAGCCGACAGGAGAAGGAGGGATCACGGGTGGAGATGTGGAGCATCACCCAGCCGCCACCAATGGAGAGACTCATATGAGGTGCAGGTTTGGACTGTGTTTACATGCGGAGTGAGAATGTGGTGCTTGTTGCAATGAAGGAGCTACTGTGAGAAACACACCTGATAATAGATATAGGTATTACTTACTTAAAAAGATTTCTGAACTCTGCAGAATATTTGCAATATTTGTGAACATAGTCTTCCCCTTATAGTACCTCCATTGTAAAGTACAGCTGTTTTTCTTCACTTGCATATGCACATGCCTGGAGACTGTATGAGATCTTGTGACACCCTTTTTGGGTATTTGTATCTCCCTGTGCGTCAGCCATCTTCCTGCAATGTTTTGCATCTGGCCTCACCATCCAGCAGCACATCCATCTAAATGAAAAGATTTGAGTTCAGAACGCATCGAGTCTGTCTGAACGTTTATGTCTGATCCATATTTTTAGGATTGATGGACCAGTGGGACACACAAAACACATCGTCTTTAAATCAGTGTTTTTCAAGGATAAGGAGAGCATTATTCTATATTGTCATTATTCTTATAATTATCAACAAATCCCATGAAAAAATCAAAACCAATGATGTGTTAGTCCGTCTCTCAAAAACCCATTGTTTCCTACGGAGGACATAAATATTTAAAAACATTTAAAAAGGCTCAGTAATTCCCTTTAAGCACCTGAGCTCTACTTTTTAGCAAACATTACACAAACAGAAGTAAATAGTGCATTTGTGAAGGACTATTTTCAGACATGGATGAATACACATTTGGTGCTCAAGTGAGTATTTACCGCAGCAGGACGGTGTTTGTGGTGATTATCTCAAAATAAATTACAGTGCCCAGAATCATTGTAGTGAAGGAACATGTCAACCAGTGTAAAGATGTGGCTCTCTGATGTGTTTTTAACAGTTTTTAGACAGCAATGAAGCTCTAGCACACAGAGGAATAGGCTACAGCAGGGGTGGCAAATAAGCCAAATTTTTTTCAAGTCATTAGATAGTGGGCCAGAACATCGTTAATTGACCATTTATATTCCAATAATTTGTGTGTGTGTGTGTGATTAGCTCAGTTGGTAGTGCAGAGGACTCCTGTTTGCCGCTAGTATTTTTCTCTTCCTTCTTCAACAAATTGATTGTGAAGAGATCGTATTACATCTCACAATTAAGCATGTGCAGGAGTGTGTAGGCCTATATCCTAGCGATTGGTCCACATCAACCTATCAATGCTTATTTTCATGTCCTCAGTATCTACAGGCAGAAGAAATTCCTGCTTTTCTCATTCAGGGGAATCCAATCTCACATTTTCTGACGTTTTTTTCAGAGGTGTGTTAAGCAAGCCAAAGATTCTTATGAATTTCCTTCAGAACTTTTCAAAGTAAGAGCTCAATTAAACACAACATACAGTGCTGTGGCAAAAGTGTTCTTGCACTTTTATTTTGTAGGCACAATTACTTAAGAGGAAGTGATTATGTGAGTAACTTTTGATGTCATGACTGAGATCTGTTTCGCCCCAGCAATTTTTTTTGCCGCTATCAAAGAAATCTGGCCAGCATTGGCCCGCGGGCCCCCTCTTGCCGACCACTAGGCTATAGTATGGCAGGCTGTGGCTACACAGACAATACTTGTAAGCAGGATCAACTCATTGTTGGTTTTCAGTGGGATTTGTCGGCAACAAGAAAAATATAGAAAAACACGAGATGCATCATTTAAGTTGAAGAACTTCCATCCATGTGTATTTACAGGAAAATGCCTTTCTAAGTCTGTGTTTGTTTTCTATACGCTGTGTTGCTGCCAATATTAGTCTAATTTTATTTTTCATGTTCAGGGAATATTCTCTCTGGCCTCGTCATACTGTAGTGATTAAAGTCCTTTAAGTGAAAGGTTTCAAGTTGCATTAGTCGAGAATTGTTTTAGTATATTCTAGGCTGGCTTAGACTGCAGCATAATTTCAAGTGTATATAGTGTAATGATGATTTTGTTGATTTTTTTTTTTTTTACTTTTTTTTTTTTCTACATTTAATCTGCAACTGTATATTGAAAATGTGCTGGTTAATCAAATTGACTTTATTTGTTTTATTTTTAATGTTGACAAAATATTAAAGTTTATTTAGGAACAGTATGGTTCTACTGTAAGGATTAGCGTTTTTATTCAAGTGTTTTTTAAAAACCAATGTACTGACACACACACACACACAGTACTATTTAATAAACAAGCATTCTTCTCTTTGAACTGTGAATTTGCCACATATTGTGGTTCTATGTGAATACAGACTTCTTGGTATAAAAAATGAGTCCAGAGATGCATAAGCAGGAAACAGTATAATTTATTTTCAGTTCACAGTGCATACATTATGTGCAGTTGTACCAAGTTACTCATGAATAGCACATTAGATTGACCTCAGGTGTTTAAGACATTTTCTCTGCAATGAGAACATGCAAGTGTGCACAGAATCAGAAAATCAGTAAATGGCAATAGAGTTAATTATCATTACAAAAAGTTGGTTACTTTAACGCGCCCAAGGTCATCACTACTCTGAAATGTTGTTTTTTTTTAAATGTGTAGTTAAGGGGAAGTGATGTTAATTAATTTGTAAAGTTGAACATGTGTTCTCACTCCATATTACCTCAGTAAACGCTGCTACATAATCTGTTACCTCCCACTCACTCCAAATTAGTAATTTCAGGACAAATGTGCTCACTATATATTTACTAATTACTTTACCCTCTGTTGTTAGCAGATAATCATGTATGCTTAGTTATCACAAGCCTGCAGACACTGAAATGCCAATCCACTGACAATGTCTTCATTCTTGTACAACATTAGTGTAAACGGTAAAAGAGGGACACTTAAGCTTTTCATATCACCCTTAACAGCAGCTGACCGCTCAAGTATTTCTTCCCATAAACCTCTACGGATAAGATTTACAGTAACCAGTAAAGTAGAGATTACTTCTTCAACATAAAATGCAAGGCAGATGACATTTAACTTTACGACACCCAATGCAAGGCAGGGCCAATGTTATTTCCATCATTCTCAATTTGATGGAAGAGCTAAATACTGAAATAAACATTTAAACCAACAGAAGAGACCACATCTGTAACACTAAACTTAACAAAATCATAGTATACAACATGTACAGGTACATACATGCAGATACAACAATTAGTATTGTACCATGTGCTTATTTTGATTAGAAGGTGTCAAATGCTTCTGAACATGAAAGGCTACATGGGACATTTGTTAATATTCTATTTTTTTCTTCCAAAAATAAAATCTAAAACATTCAAATATTAGGTGTCATCATTTTCTACAACATACAACACCAATCATATGTTATCCATGTAAAATAAACTCAAGCCAGCAAAAATACAGTCTATTCAGTTGAAAATAATTTTTCATCAATATGAAATCAACTAGAGAAACTCCTCTGAGAAATGTTTTTCAATATAGTTAGCTCAGAATGAGTCTTCAAGGTTGGTTTTTTTTTAAAGAGAAAAGAACAGAGGGCACAAACTATACATGTAACCATTTATTAGTACAAGCAAGGAAAGTACCTAATTTACAAAAAGTCAAATAACCCAGAGAAATTCAGAGATGTTCTCTTAAATACAGGCAGGAAGATTCCCACCGGCCACCGCAGCAAAGAAAAACACTGAGTAACTCCAGCTGGACTGCAGCCGAAACTCAAAAACAAAACAGCTATAAAAGCAATGCTAGTACCCAAGTTCATTTCAGGCCAGTTTCTAAAAACCAAAACAGGTTTTGTGTCTGTTTATCATATAAATACCATAACATCCAATGATTTAAGGTGGTCTAAAAACATTGCATACACCTCCTTTCTATAATACTCTACCTTGTTCTGATTATACTGAGTGGTACTCTTGCTGTATAAGGCACACCATACACACCATTTTGTCAGTAACACTCATGGACACACCTCAGCTCACACACAGTTAAATAGACTTTCATATTTTTACTTAGGGACACGAGGCTTACTCCCACTAGAAACTAGCTTGATTGTGATTATTTTTCAAGTAGAATCGTGCATTTTTACGTCATAACTGTTAAAGAGAACTGACCTTTTTTTGACAATTTAAATATTTGCATAGTAAATACGTTTTTTAAAGTGTTTACAATGAATAAGGCCAGTGCAGAGTTCGTTCTGGAGTATGTTTTTTTCTCTCTCCTTTTTGGAATTACTAGGACTGATTCCTGGGCTTTTAGAAGCACGCCAAAGACTTTATGAGCAAATCGTTAACGCAGAGCAGCACTCAAAAAGCAGAGAAATAGCTGCTATTAAACTGCCACACCGACTGGCGTCTGCCATAAATCATAAGAACAACGAACCATAAATGTAATAATCCCAACACAAGCACAAGAAAAAGCTTTCTTCTTTCCTCTAGGTTTGTGGCAGAGAATGATGGGAACCCACAATTTCTGGACGCGGCGTTTCTCTCCACAGGAGAGTCTGTTATGGAAATACTTTGGACTCTGTACACATTACATCCATGTAGCTACTCTCCGAGGAGAACCGTATTGCTTCATTACAGTACAATCATCAACACTGCATTACATAACAGTGCGTGAGTCCAACCTACAAGGACAGAGAGTGACAGAGACAGACAGAAAGAAAAACACACCGAGTTATGTGATAAAGCTGGTGATATTGCATATCTTTCTTAATATGAACAAATAATACGAAAGGACCACAAACCAACAAATGCATTATTTAATCATGTTTGAGTAACATTTGCTAAAAGTGTTTTAAAAACTAAAAATTAAACAATATGTGTGTGCTCTACTTGATATTTTCAGTAGGAAGAAATGGGCTCGGGGACTGGTCCAGAAAGAAGTTTGAACGCATCGTGAGAGGGAGTAACGCTTTGTTTCATAGGACAGTAAGAAAATGCAGAATATCACCGGCCTTATGCTTTAAAGTTCACCTTTTCCACATCCATTCCAAATATTGTTGAGGTTGAGAGTGAAAGTTAGATGTGCTGAAAGGACGTAACGACAAAAAATTAGGAGAGACAACATTAGGGGAAGAGTGATGATGGTGGAAACACTGACACTGGCATTTTAAGATCACTCTTCAGAGTGACAGAAGTGTCCTGAGGAACACAGGGAAAGGACAGAGAGAGGTTTCTACATGCACATCTCATTATCTGGAATGCAATTAAAAACAGCAGCTTAAAGCACATCATATACATATATATTAACTATTCTATTAATCCAGAGAAATACAGTGCTGTCTAAGAACTATTCACTGTTGCATTTAAGATCTGAGAGTATCAGAGATTCTGATTCCAAAGTACCTGTTATGGTATCTATAGATTAAGACACCAGAGAATCAAAAGCAAATCACATGTCCACTTAAGGCATGGTGATAAAAAAAACATGTATAATACACAGTGTATAATTTGTTTTAAAGGCCCAAGTGGACTTTGTGTCTGGAAAATCCTGTCTAACTTTGTTGTTTTTGCTCAAATGATTTTTAGTACTCAATCTACAAGTGGAAATTTAATTTGATCCTGTAAAACGTTTGGAACAGTAAGTCTAAGACTGACATAACAGTGTGTTGAGAAGACATCATCCCTTTTTTAATCCTAACAAAGCACTCACATCTTTTCTAAAAGAAAATGAAAATTCCTCCATTACTAGTTGGCTACTTAAATTTGACCCAAATAATTTATGGGTCTTTTCTTTCAGGTAAATATGTTACAAGATGAAAAAAACAACAACACACAGTTGTCCATAAATTTAGATGATTACAGACTGAAATACTATGATGAGCAGTAAACACAATGTTAAAGTATTCTTCTGATCAAGTCTTTCTTTTTTGTAATTGAATTCATAAAGTTATATCTATTTAAAATAAGTTGGAGGGTACCTCAAAACCACAAGAAAAATCTCAAAATATGGCCTCAAGTTTGTGTTTTTTAAGTGCTGCTCTCTCAGTTCACAAAATCATTCACTTGTTTTATGAACGTGAAACTTTATAAAATCCTAACTTGTCATTTTAGCAGAGTATCCAATTCACTCAGAGTAAAATCACCTATCTTGCACTGGAAATGAAAAAATCCGCCACTGTAGTACCATTATTTTAACATGTTTCCAATGCAAATGAATGTACTGCAAGTCTTTTTAAAGAAAAACATTAATTGCAAGAAAACAGACACTGGCATAAGTTTTCGCTTTTGTTGATAGACTTCTATTTTACACAGAAATAACATCGGAAGATGAGAGGACACCTATTCATCTCTTCGTGTTTCCTGCTCTAGAGGTTGTGAGTATCTGTTTGTTTCTGCCTGTATGACATCAAATGTGTTCACAATTTTTTCCTGATAGCTGAGCATCAAGAGTAAAAGGTTCAGTACCGATCATGCTCTCTGAGACTGCAGCTAACTGTAAAAGAGGAACTACAGTGAATAGATTTCAGTAGAAACTGTGGCATTTTACAGACGCTGGGTCTTTGACGTCCCTACGACTCGTCTGTGGCTTTGCCCTGGACCTGGTGGTGACTGTTGTTGCAGTGAACCTGTGAAAGTTGCAGGCTGGTGTGGAGGACTGAGCCGAGGCAACACATGGACTCAATCTCCTCGAGGAGGCCTTGATCCTGCACCACAGCCGCCCCTGAGCCTTTAGCCTGACCCAGACACAGGCCGAGCCCCAGGAGCCCCTCCTTGGACACCTCTTTCTCCCACGGGACCTGCATAGCTGAGTGGCTGTTCCTTGACGGGTTCCCTTGACCCTCCTGTCGGCCCTTGCTGCCCTGCCTCTGGAGGGCTTTTTCCTGGTAGTGCCTCACTGTCTCCTTGGACAGCACCTTCCTCCTTAGGACGCTGGTGGGGGAAGACAGGTTCTGGGCCTGAGGAAGCTCTGTGCTGGCTTGGGGGTCCGAGATGGTCCGAGATCGGCCTGCTGGTACAGGAGAATAGTTTGGGTGTGAAACAGATGCTGGAGAACTGTAGGTGTGAGAGAGATTGGAAGATGGCGGCATAGGTGTAACTCTATGGGACAGTAAGGGCGAGTAGGAGAAGCGGTCTCCTGGTTGTCGCCCTAGAGGTAGAGTGTGAAGGTCAGAGCTGGGTTGATGAGGATGTGACATGGAGATGTCAGCGTCCTGGGCTGAGGGTGTCGATGTGATGATGGACACAGCAGGAGCTGTCGCGGGTTTCTTTGACACCTTCATGCTGCTCTTGTTGGGCTGTCTGCGCGGGGATGGGGGAAGGTGTTTTCCGTGGACTGCACTGTCATCCTGGCCCATATTCCAGCCTCCCTGATCCATGCCTCCACCACAGCCACTCTCATCCGCAGGTTTACATTCACCAGAAGGTGTGGGCTTGCTCTGGAACAGAGGGAACAAGGAAATGCTATTAAACTAATTTGTTTAATTTTTAAGAGGCCTACGTGTCATCAAATCTGCCCTCCTGAAGTCTGTGGGTGAAAACAGTAGTTCCTGTGCATCTTAACACCAACATTCTGCACACTGATAAAAGTGATGTTGTCACAACCAATATGAATAGCTCTGGTCCTTATGAGCAAAATGAGCTGTCATACATGGCTGTAAACCCTCCTTGTGTGTTGTTATAGCAATCCAAGCAACTTGTGAGCATTAAAGTTTGGTTGAGTCCCATTCTACTTCATTGGGGAACAAGTCTGGAAAAGAGTTTGCTACATAGCTGCCTTTTCCCTTTATTGGTCATGATGCTTCAGTAGGTGTGGACTTTTGGTTCAGTCAGTTGAACCAAAAAACTCTTTTTTCTGTTCTATCATAAATCTTGAGGGCAATTATTCAAGTTTAATTGAATTAATACAACTAGTCAACCTGAAGCTGTGCAATACATTCATATTTGAAGCTAATAAGAGACTTTGCAAGGCAGGTAAATTGTTCCTGCAGGAAAAAAAAACAAAAACTGTTTTGGGCCGTGGACTGATAGGGTTAATAGATATAACAGTAGAGATGCTTTGCACAAAAAGTGAAATTAACTAATTTAAAGGGCCCAGCTTTTTTAAAATAAATAAAACATGAAGGACAATGCAGATTTCATGATTGTCTGTCTGTAACCATCTACCCTTAATCCATCAATGACCTTCACCTATCTGGACAGTTTTATACTCATTAACATTAATTACGCCTCTCTGCCCTATTTCCATAAGTTCTGAACCTTTGCATGGTTACAAGCCTTCTCACAATCCGGTCTTCCTCTGTCTCTATTACGTACCAGGGCTTTGTAGTCCAACTCTTCCATGGACCTGAAGAAGTCCAGGCTCTTGGCAGCGCTGAGCCTGCCTTGCTCCACCGTTGTGGTGTTCAGAGAGTCTAGGATTTCCTCCAGCAGGTTCATCTGGCCTGAGCGGGAGGAGTCTATATCGAGTTCTAGTGAGTAGGAATCATCGCTGTCCCCGAGGTACGAAGGAACATCGCCGCTGTCCTCTGAGGAGATCCTGGGAAGAGACAGAGACAGGCAGATTTAAACAGTGTTTCCTGTATTGCTTCAAAAGAAAACAGTTTTTTTTAGAAAGCATCAAATATATATATATATTTTATTGTGAGACACTGTGAAAACCAGTTCCTTTTGAAGAAGTAGTTACAGTGCATTAGTGACATTTCTGTCAACTACTGTTGTTACTAAATACGTCCACTTGGGGGCAGTATTATGATGAGTAAAAGAAAAGATTTAAACGCTTTGGAAAAGCAACTTTGAACCTGCTATCAACCTTTTCTTAACAGAATGTCAGCCAGCAAAAGTTCTCACATCTGAACACACATGACATACATACTTCATTCAGCATGAAAATGGCTTTAGTGACCAAATACTGTGAGGCAATAGGTAAAAAAACAACAGTACTTACTTGCTTGCACTGTCCAGCTCATCATCATCGAGCCCGTAGCCAAGCTCTCGAGGGCCCATGCTCATTGGAGACTTGTTGAAGTTTTGCTGTTAATGACAACAAAACAGCAAGTGGATGTTAGAAACAAAGAACACCATGCTAAAACTATACAAGTGGAGCCAGGGGGGACTCAGCTTAAAAGATATGAGACAGAATATGGTGTTCTGCTGAGGTACAGTTTTTCATAAAACTACAACTTGGAACTCGATAGAGAAAAATGCTGGTCTGTGTTTGGTGGGTGAGTACTAGCTTGTTTTAATGAGCCTGGATTGAGACTAAATCTGTCAAATTTGGGTCCAGAGATAAAAATCTTTAAGAACCCCTGCAGTATTTTATCAAACTTCAAGCTACTTAAGCACCGTGAGTAAAGATATAGCAAATTACATTAACCACTTGGATTGCAACACCAGTGCAAGTAGTTGTATTTGTCATTGCAGTGTTGAATGATCAGTTTGTACTGTGGTTGTCTGACACAGTGGGTTTAATAAGCCACCTGTGTACTATACTTAATAGGTGGGTTAAAGAAGAGACAGAAGCTTCACAGAGCAGGATACTCCCCATGGGAGTCCAAATCTGCCCCAGGCCACTTATTAACAGGCCTTCCACTATGGCGCACATGTTTCTCTCTCACTGCATGTGCATGTTCACTTATGTTAACACTATCTCTCTCTTTCTAATTTACTCTGCATTTTGCCTGTTTACCTTCTTACATACTGCTGCACACTGTCTGTTTTTTCTGCAATATCTCAAATTGTCCCTCAGTCTCTGCATGTTTCTTGTACACACACAAGCACTCATGGGGTACTGTTAACATGCTAGCACTGCTAGTAATCAGTGTGCGTTAGCAATGGGGGGAACTGCAATCGTTTCCCTGTTTTTTCCCCCTCACACAGGCTTAGCTCCAACTCTGATTTCTCTGTATTTTTCTCTGTAAACTTACATTATCTGAATTATCAAAGCCCTGCACAAAAAGGTTCTTTAAAATCCTAAAAGTGAGCTGTGTGCAGGGTATGTTTAAGAAGTGAAGACAGTAGTGTTTGTGTGCTTGTGTTGTGGTTGTGATAGTGGGAAAATCAGACACACAAAGGTGAAAAATGGTAAGAATCACTTATGATGAAAGGCAAAAAAACTGAGCGCAAGACCACAATAATAAAGGAAGGAAGGAAGTATTGAGAAGTGAGGAAAGATTCCTCAAAGCCCCAAAGAATGATGGGAATGGGGTAGGGGTGGGGGGCAGTATTGGAACTGTGAACCAAGCCGGTCTTGATTAGCTGACGCAGTGCCAGCCAGCCAGACGGAATGTAACGTGTGGCTGGCCTGGCCTCATTTAGGGCCTGTGTTCGGCCAGGGAAGACATACACACCCACATATACACACATACACACTCAGTCCCATACGCACCCTATTACAAAAAAACACAAAGAGTTAAAGTGCCATTTTCTCCATAAAAGTCAGCGGAGGAGATGTGTGCAGTAGCCACTTAAGCCTCTCTGCCATCGGGCTAAACACAAACACATGTGGTGGCTCCGCTGATTGGCCAAGCCGCTCCCCTTCCATGGTAGCTTGGAGCTATAATGAAAGAGATTTCAGAGGGGCTCAGGCCTGGGATCCCTAAACAGCCTTTAATGGATTCCTGTGTCAGGGCAGTAAATCTGGGGCCAGGCCAACATGCCAGCCAGCCAAAGCGGGCCGGCCGAGCGGAGATGCACCTGTGAGGCACTTGAGGAGGGTGGGGCTTGGGCCGACACAGTTACACACAAACACTACAAAAATGCACTGTATGTACATGGTGCGTGCAGTTATTTAGACTCTGCATTTGTGCATTAGAGCTGTGTTTGGGGAAGCGGGGCTTCTCTTTGCATCTAGGTGTTTATTAAAGCAAGGTGAGCCCAAACACAACCAGACACAGGTCATGAAGCCTGGCCCTCTGATCTCTGTTACAGCTTTGGTGCCGTCTACATGAGGAAGTTCCATAGGGAGCAATAAATGAATAGTAGCTCACTTCACGGCTTTATCAATTTGTCATTCCCTCTCTTCACTGTGACCCTTTACTGCAGCAGTTAAGATTAAACTATTTACAACAACTTAGCATTTTACGATAGAAGTGCCAAATTTGGCACAGGAGTGGGTTTATCACACTTTTTTTTAAGTGGCCATATTGTACATATTGCACTAATTTTACAGGTAATGTGAAGTACAAAGCATGCTTTTGTCAGTTACTATAATATAATATTTCCGCACCTTAAAATATGTCAAAACCAACAAAAGCAGCTAAATCTGAGATCTAAATTTAGATGCATTGTGTGTCAATGTAAACAACAACAACAAAAATATGGAGAGACTCCTCAAATTTAGACATTCACAATGAGATATGCTCAACCAGTGCAAACAGGTCCTGTGTTACAGCTGTGACAGCTCTGCCACCATCCCCACTTCCCCAGGCCTGACAGAACAGTGGAAAGCATGAAATAGCAAAACAACAGATTCTCATACTGCTCCTTCATTAGCTTCTCGCTGTTGGCTAATGGGAAGCTGAAAGGTGAAAATGAAAAAGCGATTCTCCTTCCATGCCTCCTCGGCTCCCACCCCCCCAACCCCCATCACTCTACTGTCAGTAACAGATGTCACCGTTTCTGTCTGCCTGGCTCTCGCTTCCCTTTCCTCTCCACCCCATCGCCACAAGTGAGACTGCACAGAACGCAAAGACAGCGAAAGAGTCAGGAGGAGATACAGCAGAGGAGTCTTGAAAATGATTTTTAAAAAAATGGTCAGGTTATTTAAGTAAAGCTCCTGTAGTTCAATCCTCTTGTGTTCCTTAAATCAAAGATGAGATCTGATATCTGAGCTTCTCTTGTACAGTGGATTGCTTTTATTTGCTCTGAGGGAAGGATTTCTTAATATTTTTTATGTTATTTAGTAACGTTTTTCACTTTGATCCGAGTCCCTGGCTAATGAAGTAAAAGAATCCTGATTACTTCCAGTTTAGGCTTCAGACATAAAAAGTAACACATAAACTCCTTTCGTCCGTATAGCTTACAAGCCTTTACAGTCAGATTGTTTTACAGATCGTGAGAAAATTAGAATTGTAAACATGACTAAGTTCTCCTTTACTCTAACCCTTTATACCCTCGGCTTCCTAATGCAATAAGTACAGGTATGAAATATATCTAAGAGGCCTCAAAAAACATCTTCAGATCAAATATAACAAATAACATTTAATTTCTGTGGTTATGAGGGGAAAATAGTCATCACCATCCATTTTAGTAGCTGCATTTGGAGAAACAAACTTTCCCCTCCTCTTCCCCTCCTTCCCTGCATGACCAGTTATGCGGAACAACTATGCCTCTCTGTGACAGGGCCAAACGCTAGTGGACTTTAATAGCCAGTCTTACATTATACATTTCATATGGTATTTCTGAGTGGGCACTGATCTCACAGCTTGGCAGTGTATGTAAAGAGATGCCGGTAAAATGCAAACAAACCTTGGGGAGAGGCAGAGCCTTTGCAGAAGTACGGCCAAGTCTGTGTCTGCCTGTTTAGAGCTGCTCAGTCGAAAGGGGGAGAAGGAAAAAAATAAAATAAACTGCTTTTGAGGCAAGATCTACTGCTCGTCAGTCCAACTGGCTATTGCTAAAAGCCCACTTCCCTTTCGCTAAAAACAGGAACCATATAAAAGAAGGAAAATGTGCATTATGCCCATTCTGATAAAATGGGCATGACTAAACTAATACAGTAAAATCACCAGGTGTCTTTCTGTGAATGGGTGGGGTGCAGTGCAGTACTTTGAAGGTGCCAGGAGATGGCACTTTGGTTTCATCGAGGAAGGCAGTTGGTCTCTGAAGTGGGGAGAAACTCTCTCTCTCACACACACACACACACACACACACACACACACACACACACGGACAGAGCTACTGTACTTTGAGTTCATTGTGATGCATCCTAACTACTACTCATCTAACAATATTTATCCACAATATTAATCTTACAATGAATATTATGAGTCATCTTCCATGAAAAATCACATGCACATATGCTCTATAATCTACAGTACATTAATATGCTTTAAAGTAAGTTATTAGCTATTCAGTTTACCCAGAAAGTATTGCTTTCGCGTGTTGCTCATATTATAGCATTTTCAATCATGCAGTACATAATGCACGCACAATGTGTGTGTAATGTGTTACGAGTAATACTGCAAGTGATGTGTTTTATAAATACATATTTGTATAAGCATGTTTCAATTCAAAGACACATGATAGTCCTTCATCCTGAAATCATTACCACACAAATGTACATTTTCCTCCGTTATAATACACTTCACAAGTCATGTGTACAGTGTACATATGTGTCCACTGGCCACGAACACAAGAGCTGTCTCCCACTGATGGAGCATACAAACACATCCTTCACACACACACACACACACACACACACACACACACACACACACACACACACACACACACACACACAGAGACAGACAGACACACACGTACACACTGCAGTATCCATGTGACTTTGTTCCTATTTTACATCTTTGTTAGCTCCCTGTTTCCCCTCCACCCTGAGCTGTGTGATGTTTTCCGGTCTGGCATTTCTCCCACCTCACCAGGTGAAGAGTCCAGAGCCTGGGGCAGAGCCCGGCCCCAAGCCTGCTGGCTGTCATTGTCCATAACACTGTCCCAACCTCTGCCATTCTGTTGTCTCCAACCTGAGGCAAACTGCTGAATGCCTGCATGTTTGTGTACATACAGCACACACACTCAAACACATGCTCACAAAAGGGCTGAGGTACAGGCACACTTTCTATGTGCAGATGCTTACAGAACAATAATACCACACACACACAAGATATACAAAATCTTATACTAAAACTCAAAAACAGACGTGGCGCTAGCAGACACAAAACCATACAGGAGCAACAACAATGGTTGTTTTGTGTTCTATGAGACAAGAAGTCAGCAGTCCAATTCAGTCTTGTTTTTGTCAAACGAAAGGATTACTCCTACATTCTTAATCAACAAGCTCACCAAACACAACAAATCACCCACATTGCCAGATACGGCTGAAATAGGTACGCAAATGACTGCAGCACTTTCACTTTGGTACATGTGTTGGCCGATCAAATAGAATATGAATTTCATAACTGATTAATTAAAGAAGCTATTCCAGGATCATTCATTTCATTTTTTGCAACAAAAAAAAGATGATGAATGATAAAAATGTTTCAGAATTTTTCTTTCATACAGGAGGATGGGAATGCCTTTAATCAGATCACATTTTTGTAGTGTCAGATACCAACATATTTCTGAATTTATAAATCAGGTGAATAAGCCTTTGTTGGTCACTTGGTCAGAGGTATGGACGTGTGGTAAGGACACAGGGAGTGGGTTATTTGGTGTATGTGGCATAAAGTCTTGAAGGTAAATAAAGAAAATATGTTATTATATTGTAACTGAATTAAGGTAAGAGTTTCCTTTCACAGTCATGAATACTGTTCAATCAGACGGACCATTGCACTAGCTTCAATACACACTTGCCACACTGCCAGATCATTAGGTATACCTAGAGTAGCTAAAACTATTGCGGTACAATACTACCTTTATGATGGTTACAATTTTCAGATGCAGATGGTGCAGATAGTGGTGCGGAGTTGAACTGTATTGCATTATACTGCTAAGTGTTTCTAATAATTAGTCTACCCTAACTGATACACACAGCATGCAGTATCAATTCAAGAAATGTAAGATTTTTATAAAAATTAGATTTTAGAACTGAAAATCAAAGACTGTCATTGCAATTTTGTGACTTTTTGGATTGTATGGACAAAGACAGGGCCATGGTTTGTCTACAGAACGGGAAGCATTTTGAAGAATAAAGAGTAATATTAAGAGTAGGCCATGGTATTGCTATAGCTGTCCGTGTGTGGCCACGAGAGGTGGGGGAGGTATTGTGATAAAGTTAGGTTTTTGAAAAAAAAAAGAATCCCATTTTACTTAAGCTTTATTTAACCAGGTTAGTCCCTAAGAGAGCAATTTCTCTCGCAAAGAACATCTGGTCAAGACAGTTGTGTGCAGAATCAGTAACAGTATCAAGATTTCACAGGAACAATAGGTATATGTTTGCATCATACAAACGTACTTTTGAGCCAAAGCTGAAATGTTAATATTGTGTGCTTTAAACAGTCAGGTAAAAGTAAATTAATTGCTAGCATACAGTACAACTAGTACTAACAAAACAAAACACAGTCTTCCTGAACTGGACATGCACAAGTTTTTGTGTTATTTTTCATAGTTTTATAGTTATTTTCAGCTTCCATTTTAAGTAATGTGCCTTAATATGTGTATAAAGACATAAACCAAGCTAATATGACTGTTTTATGACTATTCTGAAAGACTACAAAACATTGAAAGTAATAATTTCCAGTACAATTCCTTTCTAAATGTTTTGAAGAGTTTAAATTTTTCAGGGGTTACTGCACACTGACAGGCCATAAAATATCAAGGCTTTCTTGGCTTCTCAATTTTCAGACTTCGTTTCAGTTGACAGAAAAAAAAATCTTGGGATGTCTGACTGCACTCTCCTCCTGGGTTTTGAATGTAGGGTTCCGGGTAATATAATGATATACATAGGTTATAAGTAATGTTAAGAAAGGCAACGTGATAAAAGCAGAATGGGAGGAGCATTGTGTATGGCTGAAAAGAACGTGATGGACAATATATAAACACAAACACACAAATCCAGTGCTGGAGGACATGCTATCCTGTGTGTCCGTCCTCCAGTGGTCTCCAGGGACCCGTTACTGTGGCAATGAACAGGCCTCAATGGCAGGGACAGGGGTGTATATCCCAAAAACGGTGTGTATGTGTGTTTGTGGGTGTGTGCGCACATCAATTGCATGTTAACTGTTAATCTGTGTGTGTTGTGTCGGTCCCTCTTTGTGTGTGCACTAGCTGGGGGGAGGGTGTCCGAGGAGGCCTTTAGAAAAGCCCTAATTGCCGTTCCTCTCCTCTCCCCGGCCGTCACACCTTCTTCTGCGCTAAGACTTTCCAGCCTCATCACACACACAGGAAACACAACGCTAATTAGAGACAGCACAACCTCTCCTAATCACACTCTTACATGACTGTGACCAAAATGTCAGTGTCTGCATGCAGGCATGTTTTTTTGTGTGTTTTTCAAGACATAACTGGGAGTCCACATGCTGTATTTCATTTAATAATAAGAGGAGGAAAAGCTCCAGCTAGGAGTACAGGTATAGATAAGAGAGATAACTAGTAACACTGAGGTATATATGCATGTGTTTAATACTGTACAGGAGTATGCAATTCTAATTACATGAAACTAAACGTCCTACATCCAGAAATATATGTGCACTTATTCATTTAGACTAAACTACGGTGTTTTATAACTTTCTAACATTTTTAACTCTCTTGATAAATTTACTGATGAATGTGTATTTTGTGAGTGTGCATGTGCTTGCACATTGTATGCCAGCTCTGCACACAACAAAGAAAAAAAAAAGTGCTATCCACTTATGGTGCACAAGCAAATTCTTCAGAGGAAATGCTGACCAGCAGATGAGTTGCTTCTACTGTCCGTGCTGTTCAGAGAAAAATACTGAATGTACAACACAAGTGTGTTGAAAGAAAAAAATGCTTATCATTACATTTGGCACCTTGACAAACTACTGTGCATCGAAGAGCTGTTACAAGAGAGAGGAAATTGGGAGGGGGAGAGAAACAGAGAGAGGGTTGGAAATAAAAAGAGAAGAAGATGTGGGGATGGAGAGGGGAAGAAAGAAAGAAATGAGTACAAAAAGTGGATGGAAAGAGCACAGAAGTGGAAGACGACATCCATGTCAGTTAAAACTGAGCTCTGGTATGATCAGTCAGTGTACATGGAGTTAAGTCATTCACTGATAAACGTGTGTGTGTGTGTGTGTGTGTGTGTGTGTGTGTCTGTGTGTGTGTGTCTGTGTGTGTGTGTCTGTTTTGTCATACCCGTCTCATCTTCTGCAGTCTCCTTGGAGACAAGCTCTTGGTGCTGGTGGGAGACCCCGCACAGACCATCACCCCCTCTTCTTCTTCTTCCTGAGAGAGAAACGGTGTGTAAATCTTAGATGATTTGTGTTATAAATTAAAAAATAAGATATGTTAGTTCAAGAGTAATGTGAATTTGCATTCATATGATCTCATCACACACCGTGCTGTTATTGTAAATATTTGGTAGCGCACTGATCGCATCCACGACTGCTAATAGTCCCAAACAAATGCACTATTTACTATTTTACTTGTTAGAAAAATGTTTGCTAAAAACTATAGTCTCCAACTTTTTTAGGAAATAACTGCTTTAAATTAAAGTATATATACATGACCCATTTATAAAGACTTAAAAGTCTTCAGTAGGAAGGGATGGGTTTGGGTCTCAGAGCCACGGACATGGTATTAAAATCGGAAAGCAGTCAGAGAAGAACCAGCGTGCTGTTGGTTTAGGTCTTTTCATGGGTCAATAACACAGACAACATATAGCATATCACCAGCCTTACCCTTTAAAATAATCTTTAAGAGATTACAATAAAGATTCTCAAGGTAACCACCTCTTATGAGTTTCATTCCAATATGTTTGTGAATTGAGGTCCTGTGTAGACATCTGTGGCTGGCAGCAACATAAATGCACTGCAGAATAAAAGTGATCCTGAGAAACTTGAATTAATTCATTTATGTATTTGTGAATTCATTTATGAACACGCATGAAATCTGTTTAGCTTCAAGATCAAATAGATTTCAGCACCTCTATTTGCTTCTACTGTGTGTATTTGTGTGTGCGCGTGTTTGTGTGTGTATGCACACTGCAGAACACTGCGTACTCTTGTTCATCATCAGTGCCCTCTCTCCTCAGTTTCCCACTGACAGATCAAACTGCTATTGCCTTATCAAATCCATCAGGCTTATGGAAACATACACCTCGTTACATTAGCTTTGAGGAAATCACAGGCTCACTGATGAAATATGCAGACAATAAAAGAGAAAGAGGGGCCAGGGCTCGGATGACATGACAGGCCATAGCCAGAGGGGCGTTGGTTAAAAATGTACAGCCCTGAACAAAGCGCTAAGCAGGCTTCAAAAGTCATTAAAGGCTGCTGCGTCAGAATCACACTCTCCATGTAAAGGAGCCTTCCTGTCTGTTTCTATGAGGTGGGCGTGTGTCTATCTGTGTGCTCAGAACAGAATTATGTGTACAAGTGACAAGTGTGTGCATGCGTGCTTCAACGAGTGTGTGTATGTGTGTCAGAGAGGTGTGAAGGTCCGTGCTGCTCACCCTTGCTTTAAGTCTACCCTTAATGTCCCGGATGCCCCTCTTGGCATGACTCTTGGCCTAGGAGGAAAAACAACACACACATATTCACGGGCAAGCAGGCACAGGCACAGGCGCGCACACACACACACACGCACACGCACACACACACACACACACAGATTACTAATCAAAACATGGTGCATTAACATTCTGTTCTGGTTTCATGTAACATCAAGAAATGCTTTGATCCCTGTGGCAAAAACACGGAGACAAAAGGCTGGATAAGAGAGCCTCGCACAGTAACAGAGGGCGATAACATGAAAGGGCACCCTGACCACCTATTGTACGGCACATAACCACATTGTACTGCTCATAAAACATAGAGTAGGTATGAACAATGCTCCCATTCCATTCACTGTCAATTCTAAAACAGACATTAATATGTTTTATATCCAATTATTTATACATATTGGAGACAACAGTGCATTAAGCTTCACTAATGTGAATGCCTATTAAGCAGTTTTGCAGAAGAACGTACCTTTGTCACAGCTGTGTTGAAGAGTGCTCCTCCTCTCTAGGTAACAGAAACAGAAAATTATCATTTAGAGGCATTTTCACATTCAAACTAATTATTTTTTTATATTAAATATTCATATATGCAAACAGGTAGGGCTGGGCAGTAATGTTATCGTTTATCTACTTCTATTGCAATCATATCGCGACGATCTCACCAAATTTTCACATGAATGATTCAGAGCAAGAACAAAAATTGATTGAGGATTTGTGGCTCATGTAAAACCAATTGGATTATTTTATAGGTTTTTTTTTCGTACATGTCATACTGTGGTATAAAGCACATCCTTACAAATAGTGAGATAATTATTCGTACCATATCACCGAACACCCACAATGGTCACACCGGGCTAATATTCAATATCAAACACAACCAAAGCTCCCCCTGCAGCTGTAAATAGTACTCCAATACAACATCAGTATAAAAATGGTGACACCAGACAAAGTATTGTATCGCTGAGCCATGACAAACTGCATGATTCATAGCATTCAGGAGGTTTTTTATTTAGAAGCAGCCTAAAAGCGATGGAAGGGACTGTGTGTGATTGATTTCTACTTTCAGTTCCGCAGACTGACATTGTGGCACCCGATATCTCTCTGTGCCTGTCTTCTTTTCTCTCTCCGAGTTGCTGCATCTCTCTTCTGGCGTCTCACTCCTTTTCTCTGCTTGGTCTTTAGTGTAAGCACAAAGCATCGGCTAAACGGCTAAACAGAGTAAATGGCAGACGGCGTTTCAGAAGTCTGCAGAGGGAGAAGAGGAGAGGGGCCGAGGTGAAGGCCCCTGTTATAGATCTCTGTCAGTCAGGAAATGTGAACTTTAACAAACCTTTGAAGAGCACTCTAGAGAACTAATTCAGCCTTAGCTGACGGCATGGGGAGAGAGGGTGGGTGAGGGAGAGATACTCAGTGAAAGAGAGAGGGAGGGAGACAGAGGGGGGGCTGTGACAGAGATGAGAAGAGGGGGGGAGAGAGAGAGAGGAAACATAAAGAGAGAGAGATTGGGGAAGAAAAGAAAAGGACGAAAGAGGCAGGAGATGAAGGAGGAGGGAGAGATCTATGTTCTTGGGTCGGTTCAGCGGAGTAACGCCTGTGTTTGCTGCCAGATCAACATGTCATGTCGGAGGACGTCTTGTCACGTCAAATCACTTCTGTCTCCCTCCCTGTCTGTCTCCACTGTCCTGCTGCACGCGCCGCTTCACACACCAAACTACACTCTGCTGGGTCTGTACATTCAGGCAGCCCCTTCACTCCAAAGGCAACGCAAGGACTTCAAACACTGAGTCGAGTCAATCACACTTTCAATTAAATATAACTTGGGAATAAAATGAGAGAAACATAAAAAAAAGCCATAGATAAAAGCATTTAGGTATGATATGCGGGACACTCTGCGAATACCTTTACAGTGTGCATCCATTGCTGGTAAGACCTTGAATTACCTGAAAGGATGTATAAAACACAAGAAGTATGAATTAATCATTTTGCACTCAATAGCATTGTATTAATATTGTAAAGAAAATGTAACTATGTATATTACATTTTGACACACTTTAAATTGTAGACAAAACCATTTCTATATTGAACAGGACAGACATATTCACAATAACAGTGTCTGGTAATGTGGTTGATTGTAAAATAGAAATAAATAGAGATATTATTTGATGTCTTCTTTTCTCCCTTTTGTTATATAACCAATAATAACTAAGTAAAATATTTATTGTTGTATGTAAAATTAGTATTTGTAACTGTATATAAAAGGACTTTTGAGGGCTTTCTGGGTTTTTAAAAAGTTTAGAGAACAGAATTAGAGATGACAGTGAGGGTTTGGGTCAGAATCAGAACTGATAAGCCCAATAATATGACAGATGTTAAGATGTAACACCTGGATGACATTTCCTTTTTCTTGTCATGTAAATATGAATCAAACCTGACGTGTTTTGATCAAAATAATATAATTTGTCTGAGCACTCCTGTGGGATTTAAAATTTCTGATGTCTTGTACACAGTCACCACATGTAATAACCCTCAATCCTGGCAAAACATTAATTCTCTCGTCAATCTTCTCTTGCCACATTCAATCAGATTTACAAGTAACCTTTGTATCAGTTCCAATAAAGACAACAAATGACACTCAAGATGCATGTAAAATATCTTTAAAAAATGAGCCAATTCATCATGAGGCAGATTTTTTTTTACACTTTATAGCATAATGTTGTCATTTTTAATCAATAACTTCTGTTCTTCCAAAGACAATACAGTTCCTTAATTTATTAGTATGTAAAGAGCTTTAAGTGGTGTCAGATGGGCTTATGAGACGTATTATAAACATCCTTCTAACGTGACTCAAACAATAAGTAGTTAAGGTTCCAGAATTGTTTAAAAATTAACATGTTTTAAAACATACACAAGGAAACTACAGTGTACCATATAATTTACCATATTTTTAATCAGTTTATCTTTATTTTAGAAGACTTTCTGTCCATTGAATAGTTTGAGAGTTCTGGAGAGAGAGAGACATTTTATTTAGGCAGTGGACACATTTTATTTAGTTCCAATTTCTCCTAGTTTTGTTCACTGCTTTTACATCTTAGATATAGCAGAATAACTACTGCATGAAATATGGCAAATAAATATAACGTGGCTAATTGATAGACAGGTCTAGCACTACTCACTTCCACAGAAGCCCCCCTCTGTGATCTCTTCTTCAAACACGTCGGAGAAGCCGCGGCCTGCGTTCAATTTGGCCAGCCGTCCGTCGATGAACTGCAACCATAAATTACGATGTGCTTATTAAAGAAGGGAGGGAGTGGTGGGTGTGGGGGGTTGTGGACACACTTAAACAGATACACATACACTTACACACAGATTCAAACACTCAGGCCACAGTGGGGTGTTATTAATCCTACCTGACAGAAACTACATCCCAAGATTAGATGGGTTGCAGGTAATAGGGATTTGGTAATGTGGAGCAGGTGAGGGATTAGGGCAGCAGACTACATGCTGCACACTGTCTGAGACATGAGGAAGTTTCATTTCCTCCCTTTGTAACATGGAGCGCATAAAACTCCATCTCATAAACATGCCAAGACAGCTACACATTTCATGAGCACGGTCACACGGTCACATAAATATGTTATGCAAGCAGTACAAGCAATCAAACACATACCTCAACATTTGTGATTAACACAATAAAAAATAATTCTTTAGAAATGAAAAATATATTGTGAGTATTTATGACCAAATAAAAGCAATGATGAGAGGGGAAGGAAAAACAAAAAACAAAAATTATGTCAAAAAAAGATTTAAAAACATTGGTCATCATTTTGGCCCATTATTAGAGCTTTTGTTAGAGCTGTTATGGGACTGACTGTTGTACTGTAGTTTTTTAGAAAAAAAAATCATTCTAAACATCATCTTTCTAAATACTTTCTAAACAGGAAGAATTTCACCAAAACAATTATGTGAATGTAGATCACTCAGTCACACACATGGTGCACTGTTTTCCATTAGCTAAACCCAACCACACTGACCCCCGAGTTGCTGTTAGTTTCCTGTCCCATTGCTTACAATAACAGCAAATCTCAGCGTGGAAATAATACTTTCCAGTGAAAAACTAACTTTCTACTAGTTTGTGTGTGTTTTTCTAAATCTTTGTGTTTAACCTTAAACTAAAATCCATCTTTTCCAACCTCTTCAGAGGTTATTTGTGTAAAGGTAGGAGGGAAAAGCAGCTAACAATCAGTGATGGTGTCATTCAAAATAATTAGTATATATAAAGCATTTGGATTTGAAGCTAACATTTATTTTGACTGACGACTGCATTAATTAACAATTGCATTAATTAACAATCAACACCTCCTACCATTCAAGGAATCTTTTGTATTTTTAAAAACAACAGCAACAACAAATGGTGCACTATGATTTGTAATACAAATACTTGACAGCAACATATTGTCAGATAATTTCTTAACCGTAGCAAGCCTACTCCCACCTCTGCAAGTGTAGCCATTGTGTAACAACAGTGTAGATTGTTTTAGGGTGCTTTTCCTTGGGGACAGCCTGCTAACTAGCGACCGACACGGCCACCCGCTCCTCTGGTCAGAAGAGCTGGAAACTCATCATTAGATCATTTTAATGAGAGGTGAGACTGCAGGTTCCAACCACTGCTCCGCTACTTGGCTGGCCCAATTAGTGCACATAATCAACCCAAATCATCACCTAGCCAAAGCCTCCACTTATCTCCCCCTCACCCTCCCGTTCATTCACCCCGGCCAGATTACCTGCCTCACTGTGGTCCTTAATTAGACATTACTCAACAATGGCAGACTGTGATCACCACACACACACACACACACACACACACACACACACACACACACACACAAACCAACACTTAAAAACAACTTGCTTCTGTGCATGCAAACAAATGTGCACATACACAAACACAAGGGCTCATTTTCTTTGTTATGAGAGAGACCATAAAAAAAAGTGTTCTCAAAAAACCCCCCGATAATTTAAGGTCAGTACATCAGGACCAGTTTCATTCAAATATAAAGTATTCAGATTTTGTCAATATTTCTTAATCCAATTATGTGAAAAACACATTTACCCCATAAACATTCAAATAATTGTTTTTCGGTTCTGACTTTCACTAAACAAACAGAAAATGTGTATATAAAGTCCAGCCAAAACATGCAGAAGAGATTCAGGCACACTGACATTTCTACATGTCATTTTGTTTCTTGTTGCTTTTGCAGTTGCAGACAGCAGAGAGTTATTCCATCTGGCTACCAGCACATTGACTTACTCACGGGTCGGTCACAGTGGTCTAGATTTATTTAAACTCTGGAATTGTGGAGCCAAAACTGGGATTAGAGCTCTACAGGAGTTCATTTACAGAGATATACATGGAGAGCTTAAAGGAAATATAATTTTTTTTCTTGCAGACTGGGTCTCATTTGTGGCATTTTAGCCCATAAACTGTAGACACTCAGGAAAATAGCAGAAATCCCGTCACTCATAGGTTTCTGAGGGGATGTTTTGAAAGCTGGATTTGGGTTTACATCTCACCACTGTCTTCGCTAGTTATTACAGCATGGAAATCTAAATTTGGCCAAAAAGAAGGAAGCCTGGAGAGAAAATGGCAACCACTATCACTTTTCAGACTCATATCATTCAAAAATAGGCACAGAAAAAGATCTTTCTTTTTAAGCCTTAATATTTATTGACAAATTCATAACCCAACATTGCCACAGAGACACACATCAGAAGACTTCAAATGAGCTATTGAGACCCCAATGTCAGCCAGCATCTAGCAGCCATAAGTTGTTCTTAAAGGGAATCTTATATCACATCACATTTGATTACACTTTTGGCCATTGAGGTGGCAGCTAGTTTTATCAATCTTTGGCATTGGTTACAAAAAAATACAGTTTTCCATCTTACTGCAACTGCTGGGATATGGAGTCAGTGGAGTGGACAGAGCAACCATACGATCAGATTTGAAATCTAGTAATTTGGTTTTGCAAGTACACACCTTTCCCCCTTTCGATAAATGGCCCGGCTATTACATTCATATACGGAGAATGACGGATGATTATTGATTGATGGGACGCATATTGTCTACAAAGGCTTCTGGCAGTAAATCATCCGAGTACAAGTCCCCCTGCAGACTCAATAAAACTGTGTCTGGCTTAGTTTTGTCAATAAGAGGAAGAGACTTCATTAAATCAGTCTCTGCTAGCACAATACACACACTGTCATGTGTAAGTGTGTAGGAGCTGAGGGTGGTTGATAGGAAGCAGGTTAATGTTGACAGGCTTTCCCCCGCATTCTTTTAGAAGACTTCTCCCACTTGTTCTGTTTTGAACATGGGATGAGCTGGTGGACCGAGCAGAGAGGTAAACGTCCAGGATCAGAACAGAAGTGTTTTAGAAGGTGGAACTGTGACATTTTCGGAGATGTGTATGCATATATTAATTTTAGGGTCGGCTTAGTGTCTAAGATAAACAAGATAAAAGGACTTCTGTTTCTGCTTTTTGTCTCCTACACATGCAACTCAAATCCAGTTTAGATGGGTGTGGATTAGAAAAAGACAAACATTTAGCCAGGGATTATTTTAAGACCCATTTATAGGTGTGCTTATCCAAAACAATTTAAAGTAAGTCATTTGTTACAACAATACATTTAAATAGGGGTATTGAAAGTGATGGCCTTCAATATCGTGTGACAGCACACAACAGTCCTTCTGTTCACGAGGCTGTCCAGCTCCCACAGTACTAATGATGTTTTGCTGAATTTGCATGAACAACTCCGTGCTGTTCCCCCTATAAAACTGAAATTACTTGTGGCTGATCATGAAGAAAAAGAGCTGCTTTAAAGGAATGAAAATAAAATCACCTGCAGAAAAGTAATTTCCTGCTGAGATGGTAACACCTCAAACTCAGGTAACACCTCAACATTATGCATGCGTGATTCACTGTGTGTAATGTGTGTTGTGGTCTACCGATTCCAATAATGTGGTTTAAATTTGGCTCAAGTTTGACCTAGTACTCTTGACATGTAGGTGACAAATCCCACACTGTGCATGTGAATAAATTATTTCTATATATAAATAAAATAATGTGCTAAACATGTTGTTTCAGTCTTGACTAGCACCACTGATTGGTTGCACAATTGAGCAACCCAACCTGTTTGCACCACCCAAGCTTAAAAATTGCAGCGACCGTATGACACCCTGTGGTTCCCTCCTCTATCAACAATCCCATTGGGAAATAAAGCAGAATCTGTTTACTTTAGCTGAAGAATAGGGAAAACAAACAAGCAAACAAAATAATTAACTAAATAAAAATTTTAAAGAATGCTACTGTAAAAAGTTAACCCCTAATTGTCCATAATTATCGTATGTTGTAATATCAGCAATGCAACATTATATACGGCAAATACATAGCAGCCAAAGTTTATTACTCACTGTACGTTGCCAAATGCTATTTGTGTTATTCAATTAGAGGAACACCTACTAGACAACAGCCCTACTTACAGGACAATAAATAATGTGCAATAAACTAAAAATGGATTATGGGTGCATAATAATATAATAACAGGTGGTATTAAAGCAATCAATAACAAAACAAGGAGTAGAATTACTGGAAAAAACAAACAACATCTCCAGTCCCAGAGTGTAAACTCATGTATACAAAAATGAATGTGTGCATGTGTGTGGCCACGCAAGTTGAGTATTGTTTGGTTGTTTGCGAGCGGATATGGGTCATGGCCGGAGCATAGCTAGGGCGGACTGCTGGCCTCTCTCACTTTAGCCGAAAGAGGAGTGGAGGAGATAAGCTCAACCCCATCCCCCGTGCTGGAGAGGAGGAGGAGATAAGGGCCTGTTTCCCAATGCTACCGCTGAGGCAGGAGCCAGCCGGGAGGATGCTTTGAACTGCTGCTTGCTATCTGCTCTGCCTGGGAAAATTATAGACGGGGCAGAGTGTCCAGAGAAACAAAAGGCTGATTGAAGGCCGCTGTGCTGTAACTCTCGGGGGTAAATCACACTATCACGGGTCAGAGAGCACAAGGAAAAATTCAAGGGGTGAGAGGAAATTTTCTTCTGAGCCAGAGGTGTCTCCCCACCCGGCTCTGACTCGGCTAAGTTTAGTGTTGCTTAAGGGATTTGGGGGGAAAACATATTAAGAATACATGAGTGATTTTTAAGGGAAACTCATGTAACCACACATGAATAAAGGATACCTGCTCACACACCCCAGACACCTACACACACCCGCACACTAACCCACATACACATAAACACACACATAACCACAGTGGAGTTGACAATACTTTATACTCAATTTTCCGAGGACCAAGTTGAAATTCAGACCACAATCAAGCATGCATACAAGTTAAAGACAGAAGACAACCTTAATATGGTTTTGTACAGTAAAAATACTTTTTACAGGCCTGACTTATCATGGTTTTGTTTGTACAAGAGGCAAAACTGAGCAAACAGAGAGACATTAAGATGTGTGTTGAGAGATAACCTCAGTAAACAGTATATAGGGGTCAATAACCGCCTATAATCCCAGGCCTCTCTCTTTTCCATTTCCCCTCACTCTGAACAACTGAACTGTCAAGATACTAAATGCTAACTTTACCCAGTTGACAGTTCGCTGAGCAGAAGGGGTGCTGAGAGAAAACTTTTATCTGTAGACTTTCACCCTTCTAAATAAAAAAACTGCTGAAAAATATAAACAGCTCAAAAATAACCTGACACTGATGGGAGAGGACAGGGTAACCTACAATATAAGCACTCAGTCATCTTTTTCTATTTGTGCTTCTCTATGTCTTACAGGATAGAGCTGTGCATCTGTCAATGTCCCCATGTAAGTGACAGAAGATTTTCTTATATATAATTATGATCTCGGGATGAGGAAAGGTTCTTGTTTATGCAAGTTAAATATCTTTTAAACATTTTATAGGGTCGGTTCAATTTTACGGCTTACACTTCGCCAAAATGAGTAGTTAATGCAGGTTCCTCTGATCCACACACACACACACACACACACACACACACACACACACACCTGTTTGTACCTGTTTAAAGAGCTGCAGGTTAACAGCCATGGACAGGAAGTTCCTCATGGTGCTCGAGCGATGGTTCACAAAGCTCTCCTCACAGAACGTGATTGGCTCCCCCTGAGGAGTCCACAGAGACATTTTGGCAAAAATTAAAATAAACAATTAATACTAATTAGTTCTGGCTCACTTTTCTTTGTACCAATCTGTTTTTCACCATGTTTACTTAGTTCAGAAATGAGCCACAAGAACGGCGGCAGATGTGTTTGGTGCCTTGAACGGCAGGGGGTCTAAACTAAACAATGTTGTTTATAATACGAGTCATAGCACTAAGGCGCTCACATCATGTCTTTTATTGATATGCACTGTAAAAAGTCTTCGCTAACCAATGAGTATTTCAACTGATTTCTTCATTAGTGAGCTAAATGGGCTTGAAAAGAGAAAATGAGTCTAAAAGAGACACAGGAAGGAAAGAGGAAGGAAAAGGAAGGAGGAGGAAGAGTAAGAAAAAAAACCCAAAACAAAACAAAACAGGAAACGGTTCCCCTGGCGAAGTGCACACAATCTCCCCCGGACCAGAAGACAGTGTCCCAGTAAACTCCCCAGTATTCCACATGAACACATTATTACTATATCTTACATCATGTCTGTTGGCCTGTGAGCTACAGACACGGAGGATGACAACAGAACCACTGCAGGCCAATCACACATGGCCCCACAGTCATTTCCAATTCATGTTTTCTCATAATTAACATAATTCTCACATATTTCCATGATGCTCTAAATTCTTCTGATGTAAAACAATGTGCTTTGTCTGTTTGAGGCTGTGAGCACAGTGTGGCACATGAAAACAACTTAACAACACCGGAGACTAACCCCATTTTTGAGGATGGGTGGACGATACCAGTGGCCCAAATTGTATCACAGGAATAGTGTTCCACTTACATCACTAAAAGGTTTTAAGGCGTATTCTCTCGTAAAAGCCGAGTTGAAAGAAGCTTGTTGTAAATGTTCTCTATGTGACTGCTACAGCCTCAGACCATACTGCATCTAATAAAACTGAACAGCATGCTGAGACTAACAACTAACTGCTACTGAAAAAATGTCACAACTCAACTTTAAAAGGGGTTCTGTGTACACATCAGTATCCAACAAAAGCCTTTGGTTCTACTGCAAACTGCTACTGCAGCTGGAATCTTCCAACTGGACTACTTTAAAAGACTACAGAAAGAGAGCTACATACATTTTATCTATTTTAAGGGGTCACCACAGTTGCCCAGCACTAGAGAAACGGTGACAACCCTTTTCCTCTTCTGTCCTCTCCAGTTCTGCCAAGGTGTGTGACATCTGATTGCTTAATGAGGTGGCACCTGCCCTGGGGATGAAGTGGTTAAAGGCTCCTGTGCCAGCACCAGTAGAGACAGGCTCCTGGCATAGGGAATGCCGATCTTGCTGCCTTGCAGCCTTGTATGTTGTGTTGCTATTGTGTTTTTCACTTTGTTTCTTTTGGTCTTGATTTAGTTGTTTGTATGTCTTCATGTTCACAAATCCCATGGCTTTGGTTGCCTTAAATGTGTTTTTCTGTGGTTGATTTGGGTCGTGTTGGGTTACTTTTACGTCCCGTAAAAGTACATGTAAGTGTGACTCTCTTTGTGAGTGTATCTACACTCAACTTATGAAATGTATGTACATTATATATGAAGGCATTGTGAAACTGCTTCTTTATTTAGAGCGCATTTGGAAGCATTAAGGGAGCCATTACATAGAAACAATTATACAAAAAAAATTAACTAATCTTTGTAGCAGATGTGTTTAAAGTGTCAAAACAAGTGGGCAGTTCTCTGAATGTTCTTATCCAGGAGGAACTGAAGTTGCAGTTAAGTAGAAATATATGAATTTGTAAAAGTGTGTTATATGTATGTTATGGTGACTGAATCAAACCAAACCGAGCTGTTTATTCATACAGCTGTTTTGAAATGTATTTGAATATACAGCACTTGTTTTAATGTTAAAAATGGATTTCAAAATTATCATTTTTCCAAAACCACCTTGATAAAGTCATGTTCTTATACAGGACTCCTAGTGTATGTGAACACTTTTCATCAATCAGCTATACCTGAGAATGTGGAGGGTGTAAGAATTTGCATCTCAGTTTTCACTACTTCTGTGTGAATATTATGTGATGGCACCCGACCTCCCCTTCCTAGTGTTTTACACATCTGGTTGGATGATTTGAACTGGGTACATGCCTACTTGATTAGAACTTCAGCTAATTCTGCCCCTAAATAGTTCAGAACACACAGCCATGGAATATGCACACCTGACCTGGCTTCATCATTGGTGGGGAAAACTAATTTGATTTGCTACTTCAGGTTCTTTGCTGCTCTGTGAAGGCGAGAAGCACCTGGGGAAAGTGTCAATGTGAGCTGAAACTGATGACCTAAGAAATGTTGTTCTAATCAGCTGATTGCTTTTCAACTCATTATCAGTTTCCAGTATCATTTCATTTACATCTCAGCAAGACTCCTACCAAGCATCCACATCCCTCCTTCTGTCGAGGCATATGGGCCTGTGAACCACACTGCTCGGCTCAGCTCCGTCTGGGAAGATCTTTGCCTCAGCTCAGAACAATAACCAGCAGAGTGATATTCCACAAATATCAGAACACAGGGAGTATTATCAGTGTCTACATGAAGGAAGATGTGCAGTTGTGCATGTATGTTAACTCCATGGCTTTTATACAGATCCTGCCTGAAAGATAACAGGGATGAGCATGAGTGAACTGAGGAATCACTGCATGTTGTGCTCACACATACACAAACACACATACACTGAGTCTCGGTACTTGTGTCAGAGGGGAGGCAGTTTGTTCACATACTGTCTGTATACAGAGAAAAGAGAGACAGCATCAATAATGTAGCATCTTGACTCCGGGAGTCCACAAAGTCCAATTAATCTCAAAGCCAAAGGAACAAAGGCTTCGCTATTTGACAAACAGGACATGCTGTAGTTTGCTCTGCTCTGACTCAGACTTGATAAGTAGAAAAGATCCAGAAAAGAAATGTTAGGGGGGCTTAGTAAAAGAGAGTAAAACACCAAAGGTGGCTAAAAGGGATCTTCAAAGGGAACGTCCTGACTCTTTTCAGCTCCTCTGACATTTCACTGCCTCAGACAGGCCCACCTTAGCTCTGCGCTCTAGCTGAAAACACACCTTTTACCTTCAGTCAAAACTGCCCCAGTCTAACCAGACTCCAGTGAAATTTGACTCAACTCACCCAAACTGAGATCACTGCTGTATGCTACACATGCTGAAGAGCAAATTTATTATATTCATGTCTGTAAATTTTTCTGCTTGTGAATGCATATACAAGCTGTGGCCTTTATACTCAATATTTAATCAACAAGTTGTCTAGTTCTTAAATGCTGTCCAACAGAGTATGATCAATGTCAAAACATGGTAGTCACAAACATGTTTGTTTGCTGTCCAGTAGAGCGATAGGTCTGAGATGATTTTAAATGGTTAGTTCAGCCAAATAACAAAGAAAATCTTACTTCCTAACCTAGCTTGAGATGCAGATGGTTTAAGTTTTAGGTTTATGAGATATCAGCCTTTCTGTTGCCACCTCAGTGGATGTTAATGATATTTAGTTTGTCCTCACAGTATTGAGAAAGTATTTATTTTTTTGTGATTTGGGTGAACAGACCCTTTAAACAAGGTTAGCTGAAGCACTGGATGCATGTGTCAAACTATTACACAACACGAGTGGCATTAATGAATGACACTGGATGCTTACGGGTTTATATCGGAGGGCATCTCGGTAGGATCCAAAAAGAGCGGCCTGCGCTCTCAGGACGGCCCTCGCCACACCACTTCCTGTTGCTGTTGACTGCTTCTTCAGCTTGCTCTTTAGAGAGGACACCTGGTGGAAAACAAAGAGAAAATGTGGGAGGAGAAAGAGAGAGACAGAGAGGGGGGAAAGGGAGAGACGGAGGGGTAAAAGTTAAATTATCACCTCTGAAATTGGTGGAGGAAACAGCTAGCCCATTCTGGGTGTGAAGTATCACATTTGCAGGTCATCTCAAAAAAGGAAAGAAAAGAAAGGGGAAAGCTATAGCCTTTCCTCAAAGCTTATCTTTTGCTGCTGGGAGCACCTGCTGCTTCGCTAATTGAACAGAGGACAGGGGGCGGCAAGAGGGCGGGAACAGCAGAGAGGAAATGGAAACTCGCATCCTTGTTCTTCCTCTCTTACCCTCTCTCTCCACGCTGCCACCCCCTGTTCTCCTCCCATCACCTTCTTGCTTTTCTGCTTCTCCCTCCATTTCTTACTCTCCTCCTCTTTCTTTCCAGTCCTCCTGTTTTCCCCTCCCCTGTTGGCTCTCTCCCGAACTCCCTCTAGAAAGGGACTCTTGACATAAAATGTCTTTAATTATTTCCCCCCTCTCCTGGCTCTGTCTCCAGGACTCCAGGCGAGAGTGGAGGAGCAGCAGGCCCGAGCTTGTTTTAGGATGACAAAAGACTCACCCTGGCCACCGGGCCCTGGGGAGTCTGGGAAGGAAGTTGTCAAGAGGCTCTCCTCACCTGCTCAGCAGTAGTCTGACTGTGTTGTGGCAGAGCGAGGAGGAGGCAGAGATAGCGAGGGACTACTGCTCTCTGTGTGGGCTGTGCCAGCTTAGCACAAAAGCACAACATTTGATTGGGTTGCACAGGAGGTCTAGATTACTGTAATGCAGCTTAGTGTGGGCTGCAATAGTATGGTTTGAATCATGATTTTTTTACTTAAAAGTTTAACCGTTAACCTCAATTAATGAAAAACTGTTTAATTGCAATTCCTCATTGAATAACTTAACATTTTTTATTGTATATGCTATACTGTATACAAACATATAATAAGCCAAAAATGCTAAAATAAATGCTTAATCTCTCTGTCTGGAAAATTGTCACCTACAGAACTGTGCCTGTGGCTGGTAAGCATTTGGTCATGGGCACTACAGGGGTAGAGATTAAACCAGAGCTCTCCAGGTACGAACGTTGTACCTTCTTCACCACTTTGCTGTCTGAATATGGGTTGAGAAAACTGACAGCACACGCAGAACTGACAAAAAAGGAACAGAGTAAACTTAAAAGTAAATTTTTCGTAAGCAGTCAGCCTATTATATTTAACACTACACTGCATATTTCACCCGTCCAGTCTGTGTTCAGAGTGTGTGTCAGATATGTGTGTTCATTTACTGGCTTGTAAAGCAACAGAGAACATTTACAACAAATTCTATTAACTATATCAATACGTTTTATGCTGCCATTGGTAGTAGCAGTATTTGTGGGCAGGAAGAGAAGAAAGAAAAGATGAAAGGAGGAATAAATTGGAGGTTGTGTCTACCATTAAATGACCCCAGTTCTTGTGTAATGTAATAAAATTTTGATCAGGTCTATTTCAATCAGAAACGGCCAGAGGTATCAAGCTGTGTAGCTGCAGTGTTAGCGGGATATCGTGGTCTGGCGTCTGCAATTAGCCTATCTGGAAAAACTTCAGGGAGGGAGGAGAAGCAAAGTGTTAGCACAGCGACAGAGAGAAGAAAAGAAAGCGCATATATATATGAGAGAGAGAGAGAGAGAGAGAGAGAGAGAGAGAGAGAGAGAGAGAGAGAGAGAGAGAGAGAGAGACTTAAACTGGGACAAAGACAAAACGAACAGCGTTGATTCCTCTCCCCTGGGCTTTCTCACTCTCCACAACGTCCCCGTGCTGCCTTTGCAAATGCTCCCAGGCATCAAACAGGAAGTTTATCACGGATAAATTAACAAGTGTCATCTCCATATTCACTCATTGTGCTAAATGCTTTTATGTTTATGTAAAGCCTTTTCTGGAATTAATATTTCATGTTTATGTGCATTTTCACTGTTTTTTTTATTCTTGCAAATCATTAAACTGTCTTTTTTTGTGGTGGGGGGGGGGGGGGGGAAATCAAAGTGAACACAATGTCAGTCTAAGTGGGGGAGGCATACCCCAAAGACTGTCAGAGAAGATGGGATAACGGAGTTTACTCTGCACACAGTTCTGTATAGCAGCTTTGAACGGGTGAGAGCACTGCAGTGGCAAACACTTTTTAATGAGGTGGGGACACCACTTCACTTGTGTTTTGTTTTCCAGTGTTCAAGAAAAATGGGTGATAAAGCAATAAGTTCAAAGTTTCACATTTATTCACAAGAAATGATTAAGCATGATGAAAAATATTCATCTTTAGTCACATGTGGTGATTAACTGAATTGTCACATATAATAAATATAGTAGTAGTGCATAACAAATACCAGAATATCTTTTTTGCTAAATAGAAAAACAAAGCACAGTCTACGGTGCGCTCCTTCACATATTCAACACAAAAAAATCAATGTGTGTTTAGTAGTTAGATTTTGAATATGGCACCTATGCCACAATCACCAGGTATGTCTCCACAGTAATGGTTCTGTCAAACTAATTAACTTCTACAGTTTGAGTGAAGCTAACGAGATGCGTACAGGCATCAGAGGAAGGCCAGGCTCTACAGGTGATAACCCAATTTGGCAGTGACATTTTTTAGTGTAAAGTCACAGTGGCGGTGATGAGATCAAAGGCAGAGAGTCCCCCAATGGGTCCAATTAGAACTATAGCATTGTACAGGGGAGGGGTGGCAAGAGGAGAGAGGGGAGTGGGTGGTTGGGAGAGAGGGAGAAAAAAACTGTTGAGTTATGATATTCATAATCTATGCAGGAGGGGCCTTTCCAGTACAGGTCTTCTCCCCATAGCTATGATCTTTTCAATTTACATCAAGGGAAGATGGTCGGGGATGAAAGCAGGGCATCCAAAGCGTAGAGCCCACAGAGGGCAGACATGGGGCCTCATTAAGGACCAGCCCAACCAGGCCCAAACAGGGTTTGAAGTGCGTCACATAAAGAGCATAGGGTCAAAGGTCAGACATAGAACAGATCTCCATTTAACTCTCCAGCTGGAGATGGTAATTAGCAGGTGCAATGATGATCCCTGCCTGACTGTAAGGGATGATACTACTGTAGGTGACACCAGGCATCTGTGTGAATGTGTGTGTGTGTGTGTGTGTGTGTGTGTGTGTGTGTGTGTGTGTGTGTGGTGTGTGTGTCCAAGCAAATGTACACACGAGACGAACACAAACATCACAAGTTATATCATACCTCACATGCATGTGAATATGAATACGGAGGTACTGTATATATACTATATTTACACCTACACCAGCTTTTGGAGAAATTTTTAAATAAACATTCTGATGGTGAGCTTCACAAAAACACCTCACAATGTCTTTGTAAGAGATGGGGTAGCATACAACCGCACTATTCAAAATCTCAACCAATTTATGATGTCCATGACAACAATGAATATTTCTGTGAAAAGTGCTGATATAATCAGACACACTACACATCATATGAAAGCTGGTAATTGTTGTTAATTAACTATTAGACATCATTATCTTACACTTTTAGACAAAAAGAAGGAGCCCGGCTGACAATATCATATTTACTATTTGGTAAATATGATATTGTCATATTAGAAAGAATAGAAGCTTACACCCGAAAATATTATATTTTATTCTCTCTCTCTCTCTCTCTCTCATTATATACACACACACACCTATATATATATATATATATATATATATATACACACACACACACACACACACACACACACACACATATATATATACACATACATATATACACACAGACACACATACACACACACCTCCCCAAGTAACGACCCTGACACTTGTCTGTTGTTAAAAAAAATAAATAAATAAAAAGTTGAGTTTTCTTCTCACAAAAAAAGAATGTTTGAATGTTTTGTTTAAGATTCTGTCCAGGGAAAGAAAGCCATGGGGACGCAATTAAAGAACTACAAAGAAAAAATAGTTATGAAAATCTCCCACTTTCTTTTGATGTGCTGCAGTCTGAACTGTACACACATACATATACACACACATCTCTCTCCCTCTCTCTCACACACACACACACACACTCAAATCTGAACAAAAACACATGGAGAACCATCAAACACTCTCACACATGCACACACATACATGTACACAATGAGCATGCAACTTGGAATCTATGACATTCATTCATTTGTTCACATTAAGACAAATACAAATAAGATGGTTTAAGATATTTTATGATTTCTTATAAATGAACCTCTATTTTCAGTCTTACGGTAAAACTGCAAAAATAATTAGGATATTACTTAAGTGGATGGGGTGGAGTCAACCACAATATCTTATAACTAAGCACATAGGACTAATTTCTAGTCTTCTAATCAAAATTAACTTCACTGAATATTAAATCATCAATGTGATGAAATAAACATGTAAAAAAAAAAAATAGATAAACTATTAGGGCATGTAGTGGGACATATCATTCTTAGTTATTTGGTATGTTGATCTGCTGTTACAGTACATGCAATACAATACATTAGTCAGGCGAAATGAAAAAGATTGAGAAAGCAAGGGGGAGAAAAAGTCTGTGTGTGTTGTATATATGTGTGTGTGTGTGTGTTTTAATAGGGCTATCTCAGTGCCATGAGACTCTCCCCGGTGTGGGGTTACTTTGTCAAGCTGACCTCTTATAGCAGCTGAGCGGCTGAGTTTTGCATACATAATTAACTACAGCTAAATGTCATCTCTCACTTCAATAACTAACGCAGTGGGTGATGCTCCTCTCCCTTTTTGACTTCTAATCCAGAGTGAACCGCCAGCAGAACGAGTATGCGAAAATGAAGTGCAGCTTTTAAACTCCACACGAGTAAATGAAGGGCTGCTAACACTGCAGAGAGAGTGTGTGCACAGTTCAGCGACATTTAAAACAATCGTAACCCGTAAAATAATGTTTTAAATAAGCAGATCTCGAAATTTGCAGTTGGCAAAGTACAGACTCAACAATAAAAACAACAACAAATTTCAAATACTTTGGAGCTCGTTATTATATGCTGTAGACACCGAGACCGTTTCTTGTAAAGTACAGTATGTAACTGAGGTGGAGCAACTACATTCCCAGCACTGAGCTGCCATCTAGTTAGTACAGCATGTGAAGGGCTTTACTGTAGGTGGCTCCGCTATACTGGGAAGACACCACTGAAATGAAAGACACTTGGCTGTATCTAAACTGAAAATTGGGGAATCTGGTGGACAAACCAAAAATCTGTGAGTTGCAAAAGTTTACTCCTGAACTAGATCTGAATGTCATTGATCAACATTCCTGGCCAACAATGTGTAGGTGTCTCTGTGTGCGTCTGTGCATCTGCATGTACAAGGGTTTGCCTGCTGTCGGCTGTACTCTGTTGTAGATGATGATGTAGATGTTGTTTTCTGGGAGCATCGGAAACTGAACACCAAATTAAAGCCGCGATGTTTGATTAAGTGTGCCAGGTGATCTCAGGAGAGGCGCGCAGACACAACCGCAACCCCCTCATTCATTTGTAAACCTCCAAATGCAGGCTTGAAATACAGGAAGTAGGAGTGTACGCTGTAAATTTCCCCCTTTATTGGGAATACAAATGATCAAATGTATGAAGGCTAGGATTGTATGGGTACACGGTGTCAGCAAAGTAGCGAGAGGCAGAGAGGAGGAGAATAGAAGGAATTAGGCTGTGATGTGAGACAGAGCATCTGAAAATAAAGATGTAAGCTGTATTGTAGCACCTCACCTTGAATATGTGGCACAGAAAGAATAATACATGAAAAAATTCTTCCGTCATTGGTTTGAGATCAATTGCCGGGATCAAATAAAAATCTGATTCAGTCACACACTGTTTGTTTTCAGAATTAACAGACTCCTAATTTGCTATTCTTGGATACTTTTAATGACTAGCACGGTAAACAGCTCCACCGACCAAAAGCCAATTATAACTTTATCAGCACAATCTCTGTGCGGAAGAGGAACTCTGGATCTCGGAAAAAGAAACAAAAATACCTTGATCTTCCAGGGAAAAAACTACAGTTTTTTTTTTATTTAGTATTTCTTTTCAGAGTGCTTGTCAACATATTGATTTTACTGACACAACCGCAGTCTCTCTGAGATTAGTATGATTTATTAATGTGTAAAAACTATTGAAACTTTCAGTTCAACTTAGGCAATCTTAAAATATACACAATACACATGTTTATCTAAAACAGAAAACAAACGGAAAGCTCAAACTAAAATAAAGAAACAAAAAATTTTTATTTATACAAAGATACCAAAATACACTTGTTAAAATAGGAAATGTTTAGACTGACTTTCAATAAATATAAAAGCAAAATGATAAACTAAACAAATTAAAGAGATCTATGTGATATGTATTTCCACTGTCAAAACTTGCCCTGCACATTTAAAAAGGCAAATCCAGAACAAAAGTACAATTAATGCTGGATCTTTGATTCATATGAAGCTTTCAATTTAAAAAAAAATGCCAAAAATTATTCTCGATAGATTGTTGCATCCTTTTTTGACCAGTTACCAATTACTCTCTTATTCAAATCTTTCCTTTTTCTACTAAACGGAACCACTACTGGCATGGTAGCATTTGTAATAGTCAATAAATCTAAAATATTATGTGTGAAGTTGCGGGAAAAGACCATTAAGGGGCGGGCACTAGTGGAGCCGGTGCAGGGATCCTGTCTGAAAGAGGACGACTAATTCAGGACAACTGTGAACTCTGAACCTCCTAAAACATGGCCACTGGTCAGCCGAGCCATGTAATAGAGTCCACATGTTGTCACAGCCTGCATTGCCGGATAATTGGACGGATCTCTAAAGCTTTGCTTAAATCAACGTCAGAGTGCTTTGTTTTCTCTCTTAAAATACGCACAAAAATCGCCTGTGGCCTTTACGTTTTGATCCATTTCATGCTTTATATATTCATACAAAGTGATGCTGGGTTTTTAAAGTGAGAATAATCATTACTTCATATATATCAGGGCTTCTGTTTCACACTGAATAAAGCCTGGGTGTTAAGTAGCCAGTGTTCAGGTGAGAATTACAGAGAAATATGAAGAGTGTTTTTCATAGCTGAGAAACAACGTGCAGCAGCTCGGTATTAATCAAGATTTCAGGCCTCTGTTTGACAACCTGCACAATGCCTCAAACATCTTGTTGTGTGTAAACACAAACATCAAATGCCATGTGGCATGTCCTCATCACTAACAAGCAAACTAACAAGAGACCTGGAATTCCACTCAATTAGTACCTGCTCGCTTCCTTATTAATCTACTAGCCCGGGTGAAAAGATGAGAGGAGACAGGAAAAAAATAGGAATAGGAATAGAAACAACAACAACAATTTGTCGCAATAAATATATTAATGCCAGTGAAGTTTCCGTTTCAGGTGGTGTAATTTGACATGATATGTGGGCTATGTTCTGTCATTAGTCAGGAAAAATGGTGAGTAGGGGATCAAAGCAAAAAGGCTCTGTGCCTGCCACTTAATTTATCACACGGCAAAGACAAAGGCTTTTCTCTCTGCTTCTGTCGCGTTTCAAAAGCCCTGACTCCTTTTTATGACAAACTCAGTTTGCAATTTAATTTAGGGCTTGAGTCCCTGTGTGCAGAAAAGCAAGCAGGCAGGAAGTAAGAATAAGGTACTGTAGCCATTCACGCACACAGGCAAAGAAACATGAGAACAGTGGGTGCAAGAAACGTCCAGGCTGGCGGTACTGTGAGAGAGAGACAAGAAGGCAGACAGGTGTCATGAAACTCGAACAGTCAGGCAGTAAGGTAGGCAATAAAGCGGGCCGGCAAACAGGCTAAAAGGTAGGCAGGTAATTGTATAAAATGTATTAAAGATCAGTGAAAGTAGTAAGGAGGCAGAGATGGCAGAGATGGCAGAGATGCACACTAGCAGTCGTAGTAGGCTGAGCAGTGCTAAATCAGGAGAACCAGAGAAGTGTGGGAGTGTGAGATGGTTTGGAGTCTGCTGGGCAGTGGATTGAATTATATACTGGGCAGGAGAGTCCGGTAGGCGGTGAAACCTGAGAATATACTGTTAGCAGTGTGGGTAATAATGCGTCCGCAGCCTCAGCGGGGCCTCGGTGTCTCACAGAGGAGCTTTAATACACACACCCAGAAAAACAGCTAAACAAACAGATTCCTGCTTCGACAAAGACAGAGAAGACAAGCACGTGTGTTGTTCTCCAGGTTTGTGTGTGAGTATATAAGAGTGCGTATGTGAATGTGCGTAAATGTGCGAGTGACCCTGACGCCATGGTGATGCTTCCTGCTGCACTGACCAGCGTCAGTGCTCCATTAATTAAAGAGACGATGCGCTGGCAGGTGGCTGCCCACACTGGTAATTGGCCCCCTTCTTCCCACTCTTTCCCCCTAGAAAATCACCCATCTCTGCCTTTTCTTTTCTTGTCTTTTTTCTGGCTTGTTCCCTCCTCCTATCTCGCGTTCTCAGAAACGTGCCAGTGGGCAGGCAGAAATGCAAGACTATGTGAAATAATGATTAGAATGGATGGAGATGAAGGGAAGGGAGTTGCACATTTTCCCACAAGCCTCTGATGGTCGGGGAATGCTGTTCGCCTTCAAGCGTCATACGACGCGACGGGAGTTTACTTTAGACAGCCACAATCTGAGGAGCAAGTACTGCAGTCATTAATGATGTGGGGAGGGGACATAGCTATACTTTGACAAGTTTCTGCACATGTATGTGTTTGTCTGTGTGTGTTTGTGTGTTTTTGTGCATGTGCACGTGGGTGTGAGTGGGTGTGAGTGTCTGTGTACATTGGAGGACACGAGAATACGTGTTTATGCAAGTGAGACTCGACGTGAAACAGGAAGAAATGAACCTTCTGTGTGTCATGTGTAATGAGACAATAAAGGTTGAGAAGCTTTGAAAGGCATGCGTGAGTGTGTGTGTATTTGTTTATGTGTGTCTCACCACGTCACTGGGCAGGTTGTGCAGGTCATCAAAGGGGCTCTCCAGGGTGTTGGTGTCCACATTCAGAATGACCACATCCTCCAGTGATCGACTGCGTACTCTCTAAAGGAGGAAATGTCCAGTGTAATCAGCAAATCTCCACATGTAAATATTCTTCTAAAAATATATATTTTATGCTTTTACATAATGGAATTGAAGCATTATTTCTCAAAGTGTACACATTTGTTTTTTGCTATCCAACATCTCTTAGCATTTCACTGTGTTTAATTTTGAGCATTTGTAAAATCATGTATGTTTTACACATTTTAAATAATAAAAAGAGCCTGAGAATATAGTTTGGTTAATTTTATTATTATTATTCATTAAATCATTAATTAATTCTAAGTGTGGTCCAGGTGTATTTCCCAGCAGACAAAGTCAACTCTGCCCTGAAGCGTCAGGAAGGGGAAAACACAGCGGTCGCATTTAAAACCACACTGTCATCACACTCCTTTACGATTAGTGGTGAAAAATGGTGGGCAGAAAAAAAAAGTTACAACATCTTTACTATAACACACACATGCTCACAAAATGAAGAATGGCACTGAGAAGAACATTTGGATTGCACAAAGATTTTCCACAGCACCAAAATCTCATGCATCAACAACAACACAGTGATGCTGTGCTGTGCTGTGTGCATCCTGATGGCGACAAATTCAACAATTATTTCAGTGCGGTGCAGGATGCAGGCAGGTGTGGGGGGGAGGCGGCATAGTGTGTGAATTTCTAGTTTGTCACTTTTGTGACAGCCTGTGCAGTGGAGGCTCACATGCTGATCTGGACTAATTATGTAGTGGCGGAAAGGGGGTCTGTCACGGATGCAGAGTGTGATAAATACTGCCACAGCCACAACTGTCAGACAAATATCACACAAACGCACACCCACAAACACACATGTGCATTACAACATATGCATTTGCACAATTACGCACACAGACAAACACTTACATACTAACACTTGCACACAAGTGCAAATGTGCGCGTGCTTGTAACATGCATTCACACACAACAGCAGTGCTGGTGACGCCCCCCCCCCCCCCCCAACACACAGGGTTTAACAATGAAGTAGAAAAGCTCTTTGTTTGCAGATACTTTTTCTGCCTTTCTCTCTCTGTCTTTTGTACTTCTGGTTAAGAATGCAAACAAGCAAGACAGGGAGATAAAGAGGAAAAAACATTCTGTCAATTTTTTTGATTCAATGTGTTGAAGGTGCCAAAAAATGCCTTACTGAAATTTCTTATATTTTACATCAAAATTAAGAGCACAATTCACCAAACCAGGTGCGGCATTATCTGACCATATACACTGAGAAGAAAAACTAGGAACTGACAACATAAATGTAAAGCATCCTCCCTATATGTACTTTATTATTATAATTAAAATTTGCTTATCCACTGACAAGAACCCTGAAATTCATCATATATATATATACACAGATAGATACACAGATAGACAGATAGATACACAGATAGATACACAGATAGATAGATAGATAGATAGATACATACATACATACATACATACATATACATATACATATATATATATATATATATATATATATATACATACACAGACACACACACACACACACATACATACATAGTTTGGTCAACTGTACATTCATTTGCAAATATAGTTAACAGTATAATGATGTACATTTATATAAACACACACATTTATGTGCATACACATATCCACAGATTAACTTTAACTAACGTACCTCCAGCAGACTAAGATGAACTCCCACAAAGTATGGCATGGGGGCACTGTGGATGGAGGGAAGGAAAACAAACGTGAGCAATATCAATATCCATATTAATGGAGGTTAAACTAGAAAAGCACATTTTACACAACCATGTGAAAAAGTAAAAAGATTAATGTTGCAGATATTCTTTGATTAACAGATAACTATGACAGAAATGTATGCAATTGCTATTTTGATTCAAGATTAATCTTGCTTTTTAACAAGCTATAAACTCATAACTTCTTTCAAAAATCATAACTTCTTTAATGTGAAAATGTGTTTCTTTTCTCTGTATTTTTTTTTATAATTGTAAAGTGAATGCTGTTAGGGGTTTTGATTATTGGTCAGACCAAATTAGCAATGTGAGGCTATGACCTGACCGTAATATAACTATTTAAAATAATCATATTCCATAGACTAAATTATTCATTTGAAAAAACAAAAACATTAATTAAATACTCCAAATTGATAAAAGCTAAGACTAAGCTAAGACTAAAATGTATTTTACCAACTGAAATTATGTGAAAACTACTGTGATGCAACAGATGTGCATTGGATGCACTGAAACTAATCGGAAGATTTATATTTCTATTCACATCACATAATCGTAATAAGCAGCAATTATCATCCATACATTGTTCTTTAAACCAATTAAATATCATATAACGTTATATGCTGACTGAAAATCAGACTCAAATTATTTTCCAGCGAACCACCATGACTCTCAAAATGAAAAACAACATTAGATTAACTGGTGTGCGTGTGCGTGTGCGTGTGCGTGTGAGCAGGTCAAGCAAATAGATCTGGTGCTACTGGACAATTTTTTAACAATTAAAGTTACCAGGTAAATAGAGCATATGTTTCTCCTTCATTCTGCATATGGGTAGTTCTGATGTCCTGACTTGTGGCTTAAAGAATTCAAATGTGTGTGCGAGTGGTTTTGTACATTTAGCCTAAAACTGCCACATTCGGCTATCAGTAAGCATTAATTTACCTTGAAAGACAATACAGAAAAATACTGAAAATAGAAATGCTACAGCTGTTATTACTACCACTATCTATTATAAAAGATAAAAAATAATATAAACAGTAACAACAATATGTGCTTTTGTAGGACATTTAATGAACATAAAAAGTTTTCCCTCTAACATGATGGTAGATTCAGAAAGTATAGAAAGAGTTAGAGCACTTCCTAGGAAGCTAAAGAGTATAAGTGTGAGATGTTTTCTTTTTACCCTACAAAAAATATGCTTTGTATGGTAATTATTATGTCATTCTTATTTTATGTGATATTTATCTTCATATTGAAAGTTACTGCCATGGAAAGGCTGAATCTTAGAGGATGTTTCCCATCCACCAAGATGAATAAAATAAACAAAAACAGTGAAATAATAGAAACAATTTTACGATGAGGTTTACAGAGGCAGTAATAATCGGACGGCTTTGGGTCAGTGTATTCCTGGCCTGAATGATTCAGAAGCCACAGGCTTGTAATCAACTTAAACCAACAGCGAAACAAACAGCAGGCCTGTAGCTCTGCACTTTAGTGGCAGTCTTCTCCATTTCATGAATATACAGTACTGACTTTCATTTGCAGAGATACGTGCACATATACATACACACAGAGCATCTAATATAATTTAGTTATCTAATCAGTGCATGGAGGACACCCCTATGATTAAATAAGATAATGATGAGTCTTCACAGAGTGTTGAAAATCACATTTTACTGTCAGTGATGAATAGATTTTTGAAGCTGATGTGTCCCTTATGGTAAAGCACTGTACTGTCAGCACTGATTGGACATAAAACAGTCCTTTTACATAAGCTGACATCCCCACTGCCTTTTTTAAAAACATTTTTTAAAATATGTATAGATCTGTAGTTGACCTGAACACATGTAGATTTGTAGATGAGCTGTTACTTCTGCTCTCCATTCAGTTTCAGTCAAGTCCATTCAGATTTGTTGGATTTGCGTTGGATGGGTGGTAATGAACCCCTGAGAGGGTTAAGATGATGAGAGCGTGGTGCTAGCACTGGCATGAAATATGGAGTAAGGTGATCCAGGCCGTTCATTATGTTGAAGGGCCACACAGGAGAAAGCGCACCATGAGAGGAATCGTGAGAGAACTCAAAGAACGGGCGGGAGAATGTGTGAACATGCGTGTCTGCACTTTTACACCGAGGTTTTAGCGACAAAGCTTGGTGCATGACCAGCACACGTGGCGTGGCGAGTGTTTATGTGTCTATGAGTCAGGTGTGTATGAGTGTGCATGTGTGTGTGCGTTGAAAGGCGGCTGAAAAGTAAGAGAAAGAAGGAGGGAAAGTGGCAGGAACGAAAAGGAGGGGGTGTAAACATCGTGTATGTGTTTGTGTGTTTCAGAGGTGGTCAGCCTTACCAGCAGTAGTCCAGAAGATGCGGGGGCAGTACAGGGATGAAGATGTGCTGCCAGTACATAGGAAAGAGCAGAGAGGCCGCACCGTGGACACATGCAGTTAACTACAAAAAGAGAACGAAGTGAAAGGACAATCTCAACACAACATGCCAAGATGAAAAACTAACAAAAATACCCTTGTATGCTTTATCTTTACTGGTAGTTAACATTTTTTAACTGAAGGTTTGTGCGATTTCAGCATGCCCTCAAACAAGAACTTCAATAACTTAAATATAGTAAAATAACTTTGAGCTAAATATACTGCTCATCTTCTTTTCTTTCTAATACATTTCTATAACTTATTCAACCAAGTTTCCACCCTGCTAAAGTCTTTAGAAGAAGTGTTAAGAACCATAGCTCTATTTCCTTCCAAACAATATCCTGTTAAGGTTTTTAAAATCTGATCAAGGTTGCTGCTGTTGTGATGCTTTATTGTTGATGTGTCAATGCACTGTATGTTTGATTTCATTGAGTTAGCCTTTAATCTTGCTCACAAATAAAAGCCCTCAGAAAGAACATGGTTCCCTGACATGTCTAAAGCTTTTGTGATAAACACTAGACCAGCAAGCTATTGTTGGAAGAAGAGAAGAACAGACTGAAAGCTAGAGATCAAACAGTTGACAGGAGCCTCGTCTTAAACCGTACACCATAGAGAAGAGAAAGATTGACGAGGAAGTGAAAAGCAGAGTATTGAAAAGACACTTGCTTTACACACACAGAGAACATGAAACCAACTTTCTTCCATATTGATTTGCTTGTGGTGGGTCATCACTGCAAGATCGCTACGATAGCAATAATATAATTAAACAATAATTTAAAGCACCTGTTCAAACCTGTTTTGAACATAAAACTATTAATAACAAATTAGAGCAAATACAAGCCCACTGTTCACAATTAACTAATTTTCAATTTCAATGTCAAAGTGAGAATTGTGCTGTGACCTGCACAAAAGCACCACAAGGAGCCCAAAACAGTGCTGACAGTAGCCATAAAAATCAAAATTACCCCAAACACTATGACCTAGAAAATAAAGAGAAAAAAAGCTCTTTTTTAACAAATAATGAGAAGCAATCACATGAAGATGACGTTCCTTTTCAAGAGAGCTCTCTATATTGTCAAACCAACATTACACATAAAATTAAAGTCATTGTCTACCATTGTCTGCATCCCCCTCGACATCCCATCTCATGAAAATCTAGCTATAGTAATGACCTGCAACACACACACACACACACACACACACACAGCGAGACACGGCAGGAGAAAGAGGCGTTAGCTCATCCCCCAGATTAAAATAACATGATTAAATATGGAAAGAGAACAGAGGTCTGAGGGGCTCCTGTGGGACTTCATTAGGGCAAATTGCCAAAGAATGAAACATGAGTTAGCCAAGAGAGACTGCGGGCTAGGCCAATACCGCCGGGACCCGGGAGCAGCAGCCGCTGTTATACTGCTGCAGCTTCACAGTCAATGTGTGAAGCGGACACACACTATCACACACACACGCGCGCGCGCGCAACTACCAGGAGACCCCTGCTCACTGACACATACTGTGTCACAATTGACCGGCCAAAAAGCGGGCAAGCTTGGCGGCTGAAAACCACCGTTGCCAGAGAAAGAGAAAGGACCCCGCCCTCTGAATCCACCCAAACATCAAGACCGGACATCTGAAAAGCTTACAACAAAAACTATGTGTGTTTGCGTGTGTCCATGTGCCTCCCTCCATTAATGTTTGTTTTGACTGCATTCATTTTTCATATCAGCTGGAAAAAAGCAATGATCTTTTTTCTTATTGTCTCTGTGCAGTCTCTTATACATCCAGTCCCACAATAGTTAAGACTTAATCAACATTTAATTGGTGTCTTGCTCTGTGTATAAGCATATGCATATTTCTGTTGCCTGCCGTCTTCAAATAAAACACAACAATGCCACGCTCCTGTCAAGATTAATTCCCTGGCAAACAGTTTGTTTTTTTTTAATTCTGAAAATAAATCAATGCTATGAATATTAATGTGTGAAAGTGAAGCACTTGGTGCGAGAGCTACTATCAAAACCATCACCCCCTTCTACCTTTTCCAAAGCGATGACGGTAAGGGGCCATTAAATTGTGATGAAGAGAGGTCAGCGATCTGGCCGTGGATATACATACACACATTTGCGCATGCGTCACATGCACGCACGCACGCACACACTAAGCGGAGAGCCAACAGGCGGGTGTATTCCTCCTCTGGGAGTGCGAGACAAGCCCCAGCCATTCGCTTGTACCAGGAGGTAATGGCACAGAACACCTCGCTAACCAACTCCAATTATCTCCACCAGGCCTCAAGGTGAGCCCCCCAACTGGCATGATTTACTCTTAGGTTGAAAGGAAAAACAGGAGTCTCTCTCTCTCTGCTTCTCTTCTTCTCAGGCTGGGTGGCTGGCTTGGGGGAGTTGGCTGAGAGGGGAAGGGGTTACTGAAACTAAGATAATGATTTATAAAGCAAATCTAGATTTCTGTTTTCTTTTATTTGCTATCTCCAAAGCGATAGAAGTGGCAGTGTGCCTGAGATATGTAAACTTGGAGGGAACTCCTGAGGAATAGTTCACATATTTGCTTCTCTAATTCAGCTGAAACAAATCCTTGTGTCCTTGTTCAGGTTTTCAAATGAATGAGGCAAAAAGTAAAAGGAAGATAAGTGGAAAAAAAGACTTTTTTTTTTTTTTTTTTACAGGAGGGGGGGGGCTTCACATGAGAGTGGGTCATAAGAGGCTAAGGCTGATAAAATATTTGCCAGGCTGATAAATAATAGATGAGTGGAGCCAAATGGCTTACACGCTCCACAAAAGACCTGGGTGCTTAATATTCCATTCAATGGAGAATCACAGATACAGTCCCCAAGAACAAATACAGGATTAGGTGCTGGGTCCAGTCCTCAGGGACCGGAGCTCTGCCCGGTAATGAGGGGCTGCCTGCCTCTCACACTGTGTGTGTGTGTGTGTATGTATGTGTGTGTGTGTGTGTGTGTGTGTGTGTGTGTGTTGCCCCTTCCTCTGAGAGAAGCTAACCGATTATACAGCGACAGCCTGCTTCAAAAAGCAGTCAAGGTCTTTGGTTCTGCCCTGAGAGTTTTCTTAGTGCGCTGTAGCTGAGACAAAAAGTGTCCACACTAACACTGGTTTTCCCAGATCCATTCAACGGGACTAAAGGAATCAGAGACAACGAGAGAGACAGAGAGACATAAAGAGATGAGAGGAGGTGAAAGAAGAAAGTGTGATGTGAAGAGATAAAATTTGCATTGCAACTTTGAAGTAGGTAGCAATAAACCGAAGCTAAGAGGTCACACACCAGTTTTGTCAATAATGGGGTTTGAGTCAATTGCTTTGTGCCATTCCATACTACATAATCATATACAGTACAGTATGTACTACATAGAAAATGTCTTAGTGTACTGTTTTTGCAGTTATTAAAAAAATAATTTATACTAACAGGAAATGAAACAATGCAGTGATGTCAATCAAGCTGCAACTTCGAAATGTCACTACTGATTAAACTTCACAAACAGACATCACAATGTTTATTCAAAGATTTAATAGTAACTGTTTTGTTTTCTGCTGAGTTCACAAAGCTGTTTTATCATCATCTATAGTGGGGGGGTTATTTTCTAGCTGTGAGCACTGTCATTTGACAACTGAGTCACTTTTGCACTGTGAACACACCCCATCCTTAAAACCTGCTTAGAACTAATATGTAGCATGGAATAGAGATCCAGCTAATATGTTGTTTTTCCCCCCTGCAGGATTACATGTGGACAGCTCCACAACTCTTCTAACGGCTCACAAACAATTACACAGCTCTCCATATTCATACATAATCATATTCAGATGAGCTCGTCCCTCAACATGCCTGAACAGCGACCCAACCCTTCAACAGTGATGTGAAGAGCTGGAGCCAACAGAGACCTCAGATCTCAGAACACTGTGACTCCGAGCTCTGCAGACCATCAGTAAACAGTATGTTTCCTCCCACACCATTCCTATTTACCTGAGCAACTAGACATGTTGAAATTAAACACAGACAGAAAATACAGAAACTGCTTCTGTTGAGTTCTACATGCACCTCTTTCAAATATTAAATGGCAGTGTGATGGGAGATTTAGCCCTTTTACTGTTGAACATAACACTTATTCCATCTGCTTACATAGTCTTAGATGAGAGAGCCTATCGCACATGTTAAATTACAGTAAGAGCAGAGTGTGAGACAAATAGCTGCTGCTGCAGGCAATGTGATTCAATTTGACAGGAGGAATGGTATCAACAGAGTCGCTCTTGACCTCTTCACACCAGCCTCAAACACTCATTTCCCCTCCACTAGTCTTTCCTTCCAACTCTGTCCCGATGCACTCTCCAATTCAATCCTATCGTCTCCTTTTCCAGCCTAATTTTCATCCTAATTCTTCATTTCTTATTGTGTTTTCCTCCTCTCCTCCTGCTGTCCTTCTGTCCATTGCCACCTCTCCCTCGCTTCTCCTGTTGGTTCATCGCTGTCTTACCCTTTCCCGCTCCCCACCCCTGCACAGAGTAAGTCACCAATTACCCAAGCTCGGCTTCTCCCTCTGTTGACAAACGCCGGTGTCAGGCCCAGCACAACGCAGGTGTGCCACAAACAAGTAAGTGGCACAGGGAGAGAGAGAGAGGGCACACAGAACGACACAGGTAACAGCTAACGCCAGGCCTCCCACACATACACACACAGTCACTGACTCTCTCACAGAAAGACATAAGGCATAAGGTACAAACACCTGTGAGTGCAGAAGACACACAAACAGATGCATGTGAAAGAGATACAAACACCCACAGCATGCACATATGCACATACACGGTCACAGAGGCACAACACACACGTTAAGTCAGACACATGGCATGGGTCTGAGATAAGTCTATTGAAGGGAAGGAGGGGGGAGGGAGTCCCGATGTTCTGCAGATGCCCAACAACAGAGAGATGCATTAAGACACCCAGGAACAGGGAGGCAAAGTCAGAGAGAAAGAGAGGTGCAGCCAGCGTGAGTGAGAGACAGATGGACAAAAAATAATATGTCAAAGAGGAAGAATAACTAAGACAGAGAGAAAGTAGAGAGACAGAGAGGTCCGGGAAAGAGAGGAGAGGAACAACAGAGGAAAAGGCAGGAAACAGAGAGACAGCTGGCACTCTAGGGCATGGTGGATGGATAGCTCCTTGTTAGCATAGGCCTGACAGGCTGATGAGAGGGCTGCTGTCAGCCGGTGCCGGGCTGTGTGAGTTTGGGCGATATGCAGGGCAGAGGCTGGGCTCGAGAGCTGGGGGGCCTCGGCAGATGAAAGACACAGAGGGTGGTGGGGTGATGGTGGTGGGGGCACTCCCCACTGACTAGTTAGAGGAAGGGCTGATGCAGTCCTATTATACGGGCCTATGACAAGGCTGCACGCTCGGCTGGCTCCCGCCCCTCCGCCACCACCGACCAGCCTTTTAAAACAGTGGTACCATTCACCTCCGGTCACGAAACAGCAATAAGTCAACTGACGCATTGTTGTAAGATCATGATTTATTCCTTTGCTGTTGGCTGCTTGCAAGAAGCGCCGACCATGTACCGGCAGACTGACACACTGGGTTCACCGGGGGCTTTAACACAGGCAGCACCTAGAGCAGGCAGAATAAATGCAGCATGTGTGTGTATCTTCCTCTCTCTCTTTCCACTTTCTATTCCCTGTTTCTCTTTGCTTGGCTGAGAGGCTGGACAGGCGGAGGTGGTGAAAAGCAGCTGGATGGTACTAACGATGTTACTAACAATAACTTCTCTCATACATCCTCTATCTGTGGCAAGCAGAGTATAGAAATATTACCTGTCTATCCAGTGACTGCAAACACAGACTTAAACAAACATTTTGACAAACTGACTTTAATTATATATTTCCCAGCTTTTAAGATATTTGATCACGAGACAGTGGTGTGGATAATGAGCTGGGCTCGTTGTAGTTAAGTACGCGTACACATACAGTAGATAGCGGGCTTCAAGAATTATGGCAACCATTTCCACTTGAACTGGAAGGTCAGTCTGCCTAACGGCAAAAAATAACGCATCACAGGAGCAGTAATAACATCAGGCCTGCTAGTAATCCCAGTGGAGATGTGAAAATACCTTGTACTACAGTGCCTGACGTATATCACTACCAAACCAAAACACCTCTCCCTGAAGAAGATGGATGGATAGACAGATGAGTGGATGAAGAATTGCAGAGGATAAAAGGCTTACAGAGGTAAAGGTCTGACGTGCAAGCTCTTAAAAAATCCTGTCGGCATAAATTTGTTTTTGTTTTTTTAAAACAAGCCGACATTAGTCTCTGAGCTGCAGAAAACTATAAATCACACACAAAAATCACCTCCACCCCTTCTTCCTGTTAAAAAGAAAAACACCTTCACCCTAGAGTCTGATAATTTACATTATGTAACCCTTGTGTCACAGCAATGTGTGCAGCCTACAACCTGATCTGAGGGGAGACAGGTGAAATTCTCTGAGGGCTGGGTAATTTTTACAGCTCTTCCTGATTATAGCTCCCATGGGACATCTCGGGAACCGTTCCCCTCCAGCACCCATCAACACCACAGGCCCCTCCGGCTGGTTAGTGTTCTGCAGCCCTGTAGATACCAAGGCAGGACCAGCTCCTCTACAGATAGGACTTGGGTGACATCACTTCCCTCTCCCATCTCATCTGTCATAAACATTTGGCTCTGCCTCATCAGCCACAAAGATTACAGGGGGAGGATGGAATGAGGAACAGAGGGAGGACGAGGGGGAGAAAGACACAGAGATTTCCTCCCTCATATAGACTGAAGGGGCTTTAAATCATGTGAGAGAGTTAAGACATGTAATAACGGATAATTTAAGGCTTTTGGGCCATTAATATGTTTCAGTTATAAGACAAACAGTCAAATATAATCCAGCTTTAGTGTGGATTTCACAGTTTGTCAGAGTGTGGTGATTGCGCGGCTGTCTAACCGCAGGACCTCTGGGCAAAAAGGGTGGGAGGGGGTGGGGGGCAGAGAGATCAGTTCAGCTCTCTCTGTAAAAGTAGCATAGCCATGTCAGATAAATATTCTCATCGTACTACTTAGGGTTTGAGATTCTGCTGGAATATTGATGAAGTGAATCATGTTCAATCTAGGAAACATTCCCAACATTTGACTTATATACTTTTTTTAGGAGGGCAAATCGTTATCTGAATTTGATATGAATCCAAAAACAGTGACTAAATTAGCAACATTTTCTCATATTATGGTATCTCTTGTATGTAAGTGAGAAAGAACCCTACATTATCCAACATGACATTCTGGAAACACAAAGCTTAACATTTTATGACTAAAAACCTCACCTCAACTTGAATTAAATGTTTAGGAAACTCCTTCAAGCAATTTTAGTATTTGAGCAGTTTTCTAACCTATTTTCTCCTTGTGCTTGACAGGGCAGAGCTGATAACTGACTGCAGCTGAAAGAATGACTTGGAAGGAATGGACTCACAGTGCTAAGCTTGCTTGAGGTAATGATGATGCGCCGTTCATGCAGCATACTGGCATAGAGCTGGAGCATGTTGTTGACGTCCACAGCCACAAAGTACTCTGTCAGGTTCCTCTGGAGACAGACAGGAACAGAAGGATATGCAGGTACATAACAAACTGTCCTTGCACAACTTGCTTCTAATGTATTGTCTATGCTACAGACTGGTAGAGTGCCAGAGTCTGACATAGAGATACATACAATACTGGCTGTAAAGGACTTCTCTGCACATAGTTTTACAGTAAAAATTTAAAATTACACATTTGAGCCATCTGACACAGTCATGTTTAGAAAATAGATAACATATCAATCAATGTTGCTTAAATTTGTCAGCTTAATTACAGTTTTCATCTGGTGTAGCTTGCCATAAAGACAGGAGCTGCTCAACATGAGCTACAATTTGAATACAATATCAACAAAGAACATGTGTTCCGTTTAAATCCTAATACCCGTGGCAATCACTGAACTTCAACATTAAAAGTACAAGCACCACAGGAGACAAAACTGAAACAAGAGGATGGTGCAATAATTTCAAAAGGTGACAAGTGTATCTGATTAAAAACGATTAGAGGAAGACATGTTTCCAGAAGTGAGGGATCTCTCTTTCTCTCCTTCTGTCTCTCTTCTTTTCTTTTTCCATGAATACCTACGCTTTCAGGGATAGTTGGCAGTCCATTGATATCCGGGGCAATGAAGTAGGAGTGCTGCGAAAACACAAACATGCAGGAGGGAAGGTCACAAGTGAAGTATACCACTCATACAGAAGAGAATGGGGAGAAGAGGGGGGAAAAAGGCCATTCACTTTGTTCTATGATTTATGGCTCATCTTCAGCTCTGTCTATATGAATTGCTGAGCTGGTGTCTGAACTGTGGCAATGCTTTTATCAGGCCTACAGAAGAGAGAAAGCTCAGTAGCAGCTCAGCTCCCCATAGACACAGACTGGGGTGATGTCTCCGGTGGAAAACTGAGTCTTTATTTAAGCATTAAATAGGCCTGCGGAGCACCTACACACAGACGAAAGTATACGTGCACGTGTGTGCGCACATGTGCATCCACACAGACACACACACAGAGGTTGTTTAAAGGATCACAGGGCTGCCTGTCTCACTTTGGGAGAGCAGGGCAGGTTCAGTGTTCAGATCAAAGGGGCCTGAGAGAGGTGCTGTTTGGAGACAGGTAGACAAACCACCAACTGAAACACACTATTGTGTCTCTCAAACACACTCTCTTTAGTACACCTGCATTTCTCTAGACATTTACTCAACCATCTGTTGCAGGTCTTCACTTAAATCCACTGTAGCATCTAGAGTGGATTCTCTCACACTACAAACACAGTATTTAAAGTAAAATATTACAGTTAAGTTAGTTTTCTATGACTTCACAGTGTTTAACCTTGTCACTACTACTTACTTGTTATACAAATCATCTAACAAAATAAAGTCAGGCTAATACACAGTCAGTGTCTCACTTAATCATTGAGAATTAATTTGATTTGTGGACAATGCAAAACAGCACTGCATTAAAGGCCTAGTTCCGATTAAGGAACAATCTGCACTTTGAAAGGAGCTTTGAAAGAAAGAACCTGCCTAATAAATACCTTACATAGAAGACAACTCAACAGTAATATGTTACATAACCAACAACATGATTAAGAGTATGCAAACATAAGAGGAGCCATTCAAAATCAGAAACCCCAGCAAAAGTATCACCACCAAGAAAGAAAAATGTCTCTGATTATAGAGTTGAGAACACAAGTAAAGACTGAACACCATCACAGGCAGACAGTAAAAATATGGAATTTTAAAAATCCACGATAATGGAAAAATATCAGCTTTAGGTGTTGAGCAGGGTCGTGACAAATTGTTTTGATGTGACATGAAATAAGTCCAAACAATCTGATTGATATTTTGAACCCTAATCGATGAAATTGAATATAGCTAACTGATTTAACAAACATTGCAACCAGTAACTACAATGATTAGTTGTAAGCACATTTCATAACATAAAGAGCTTCTGGTCGGTACTGTTCTGGAACCTGAAATTTCTTAAAATTTTCTATTCATTCAGCAATGGGAATTCAATTGGTGGAAATCAATTTCCACCAGTAAAAAACATTCATGCTAATTAGTCTTAAGTGACAGTGTTTGAAAAAAATCAAAGATTAACAGACTGTAATGATGAAGAAAAAGTAATGGCAGCTCACATCATCACTTACTTTTTGTCTGTGGTTGACACTGAAACATTTGGTTTAATGTAAAACAAAATAAAATACTTCACTCTCTAAGAGAGTAAGTGTGAAACATGTGAAAATAATTATCACGAGTAAACAAAAAATCATATTCCTAGAGGGGGGTCATTGTTGGAATGGAAGTATAGAGGAGATGGATATACAACACAAACAAACACTAAACTGGAATCAACAAACAAGGCTTTGCCTTTTGAGTTTTCCTTTTCATGGGCAAACTATACGGTATATGAGCATAAGCATTTGATTTGTCAACACCTAAGCCCTTCTCTTTATGGTAAGTGTCTTTGATATTTTTATGCATAATTTGCAGAACTGCCATTATACTTTAAAGTATCTACAAAAAAACAAGGCAGTTGTGGAGGTATTTGCACTAAAGAAAGGTATGCAGTGTACACATTTGTTAGAATTGAGTAGAGGCTCTCGCCAAGCTACATATTAAAGTTTGTTTTTAAGTTAATTTTGTGTTAGAAATATGATTTTTTTTGTCAAATTAAATTGTGTTCTTTTATCCAGCAAGTAAGACATTAACAAAATTGAAAGGCTGTGCAAAGGGAAACAGCAAAGTAATGTCATGTTTTTAATGTGCTTATTCTGATGACAACTACTGTATTTTGAGTGGTGACAAGTGTGAAAAGCAGTGCTGGGCTAGTTAAAAGCTAGCTAAAAACGATTACGCACAAATTAACACACGAGATAGAAAATGGCTACAAATAGCTAAGGACACAAAACGCTTGTGAGAGAAAGAATATTTAAATTAGTAAATTCAAATGATTTACACTTTAAGTCAAACTTTCACAGTAAACCTCACTTATTTTCGTCTCCTTTCTGGAATATGCACTTTCCTGGTAAATTTTTTCATCAGCTCAATTTAAAAGGGGATTTCTAGTTGCACTTGTAGGACTTATTAGAATTTGTTAAATCATTAAACAAAGACAGAAGACAGTAGATCATTAAAATATGGTAACTGTTGCTCCAATCATACTCTTATCATACCTTCTTAATAAACTCACCTGGGTAACTCTCATTCTAACGTTGGTATGCAATGAGGGTACAGATGAATTCTGTTTCCACTGTATTTCTGTCCTGCTGTGCCATTTTCTCTTCATCAAGCTAAATACTATGTCACCTGTAATCTGTCAGCTGCTGGACAAGTGGATTTGAACATCATCGCTCTTTAATCTGTGCAAACAATACTACGTGTGATGGAAAGCCTATTCACGGTCGACTGAAAATAACTAGATAAAGGATAATTGAAACAGAATAGAAGAGCAATTGTAAAAGATCAGGGACTTGAGGCAATACATTGGAGGCACATGACAACGCCACGCCATAACAATACATACAGTAACTACAGTATACTGAGTATCTTTATTTCTGTGTGCTTCTTCTGTGTTCTGTGTGCTAAATAACGTTTCCCCGTTGGTCTACAAATTCATGGTATTGTGATAATCACAAGCCATGCTCCTCAACTCAACCCAGGCTTTCATTGGCTGTTTGCTTGCTTATCTGCTTTTTTTCTTGTTCTTTCGAAGACATGTTTATATAAAAACATTGAAAGTGGGTTAACTGGAAAGGCATCAAGGAGATTTTTTGAGCACAATTGCCTTTGCTTTAAACATAGAGAGGGGAAAAACTTTTGATATTCAGAGAGCGAATATAGCAGTGTGGAATGGCATTAATCATTTACAAAGTTTGATTGTTTTCCAGAGGAGAAGAAACATACACCAAGGCCCAGGATAGTTTGTTTTTGTTATATTTAAAAAGATAGCACAGCTTATTTGGCCAAATTGGAAAGCCGTGGCTCCCATGCGATTAGTACAGCAGCGGTTTCATATTTCATAGCAGCCTCCTTCCCTCCTCCTGTTTCTGCCGTTCACTCATTCCCCTCCACTCACCGGCTCCTTGCTTTGCCGATCTCTCAGTACTTGCCCAGTGGCAATATACAACTGCTCATTCTTGCACAATGAGAGAGGGAGAGAGAGAACAAAACAGGGTTCACACATGAAAGGGGACAATGATCCTTCTTCTTGGCTGCCATGATAAAACAAAAATCACTCTTTTAGGGAATAATTCTGCTTCATCAATTAAATATCAAACTAGTGGCTTCTCCAGAAAGAGAGATGAAGCCATCACCTCTGTTCTCTGGGGCTTCTTTTCCAATGAAGCAATGAGATTCAGATGAAAAGATTTTGTTCACGTATTCAGCTGATAAAAAAAACAAAACTGACAACAAATACATAAATCACAAAGAATCTTGACCTTGTTAACCTACATAGAGATATATTGATTACCTCATTTTAGTCTTGTTATGTTGTAAATTCTAATTTGTGTAATTAGATGTGTATCCTTCTGAGACCTATGCTGCAGAAAGGACCCAGAGTTGCTTGTTTAATTGGTCCATAAAAAGAAATGGTAGTCCTCAAGGACAAAGGCTAACACTGAAACTGTTTGGTCTCATTTAGGGGTGGAGCCAAAGCAACTCAAAAATCGAGATATTAGTGAACAAAACCCTTTGCAGTACACTAGCAGTCCCACTAAAAAACAATTACATGCTACTTAAATAGTCGAGGCTTATGGGAGCGAAAACAGTTTAAGAGTGAGTGTTTTATGTAGGTGCTGCAAACACACAAGGAGAGATTGTGTCAGAGTTAACACAAACACAGGCTGACTTTGAGGGACCTGTGCTTGTTAAGCCATTTCAGTTTTTGATAAGCAGGAGACATGAGGAGTTGTGAAAGTACCCTTCAAGTTTAAACATGCCCTGCTCTGGCTTATCAAACAAAAACCTGTTAGCGCCACTTCTTGTTTCCAAACAGAGTGTCAGTCCTGGGCCCTCTGTGTCTCTCTGTTCCTGCCTGGTGTATCTTACCCTCCCTCCTGCTCTCTACTTTGTCTGCTCTGTTTTTCCCTCATTTATCTCGTCCATTTCAACCTCTATACTTGGTCGATCTCTCCCGGTTTCTGCCCGTCTGCCCTATATTCTTTCAGTATGTTTTTATGCCATCTTTGTCTCCTCCTCTCATCTTTGTGTCAATTACATTTTAGTTCTCATTATTCGTTCCTTCTTTTTTGTTATCCATTTTCTCGTAAGCGTCTCTCATTCTACTTTGAACTGCTTCAGCCAACTATCATCATCTCCTCTTCTTTTCTGCAGTCTCCCTCCTGATGCAACACACTACAACTACAGTAACCTACCTGTCCCGCTCTCCCTCTTTCTACCTCTACTCTGAGCTGTCTTGCCTCTGATAAGGGGGAATATGAGATCTATACCTACCACACTCAGGTTGACTGGCGTGAAGGGCTTTGGCACAGGCAGATCATAGAGAGAATTCAGCATGTCATTCAAGTCATTTTCCTGGGGGAGAGAAACAAACAACAAAAGAAGAAAAAAAAACATAGGACACATGAATTTTATTTACTTGTTTTGTTGATGTGTCAATCTCTACAACAGTGCTGGGACGGGCGCTGCTGCAGACCAGAGGGCAATCCTGCAGCGAGGCCTGAAGGGCTCCCAAACATCCGACTGACATATGTTTAACAAGCAATGGTGAAGTTAAAAGATGGCTGAGTGTGGGGCTGCAGACACCCATTATCCAGCAGAGTAGATTTACGGCCGAGAGCGGGCTGTCAGTAATTAAGCAGGGGTCCCCACTCCAAAGACAGAGGCTTTAAGAAGCCGTTAGAGAGCTAGCTTGACCACAGAACAGGCCTCAAGATTATTTTTCCAGCATTTATGAGCTCCGCGACAAACTGGAGAAATTATGTGGACAACACTTTGCAACTTATACTTCTACTAAACTAGCTAACTACACAAAAGTTGGGCATTGTTGTTTGTTTTAGCTTATTCATATATTTGCGCTCTCATGGAACTTTGTTTTGGTTTTGGCTACGAGCCGTTGCTCGTTTGAGGAAATGTGCACTTGTGCAAGTGTGTATGTGTGTGCATGTGCGCGCCAGAGAGAAACAGAAACTAGAGAGGAATGGGCGGCAATATACAGTAAGAGAAGGAGAAGGGTGGGAGGGAGGGTTGTTGGGGTGTGTGCAATCGAACAGCCTCCTGTCATGAGAGGCTCAATGCTCACACGCATGGTCAGCAACACGGCCCGGGGAAACAGTTCATTTACCCCTCGCCTTAAACCCTCATCGCTCTTCTGTCTTCCCTCGTCTGTCAACATCTCCCTCTCGCCTGGAACGGACAGCGGGGTAAATAGAAACCAAATCATGCACACTAACACTTCAGTCACCCAGGATTTCCAGCAATCTTTTTGTCTCTCTCTTTCTCACACACAAACTGTCCCATTTTCCTTGTCTGTCTCTCTCTATATTAGATTATGCTGCTGGATTGCTTTCAATCACAGAAATGTGTGTGTATGTTAAACATTTATGTGATGTGTTTGCGACTGTCTGCTTTAGCAAGGCTCTCTGTCCTGATCATTGCTCTCTAAGGGGTCTTGGAAGAAGCAGTGACTATGTGACAATTGAAAGCGGTCCCAAAGCTCTCTGCATACCTCCCCTGCTCTGCCTCCCTCCTTCTTCCTCTCTCTTCAGTCAAAACATGGGAACATCACCTACACCCTCTGCGCTAGATGCTGCATATCTCTCCAGTTTGTTGCATATTTTACATTTCCCTCCCTTTGCTAGTACAATACAGTGAATAGTCAGGGGAAAAGACTTTTGTGAAGAGCGAACATTTGTGTGTATGTGTGTGTGTGTGTGTGGTTTCTTTTTTTTTTCTTAACGATTTGTTTTCCAGTAAATCATCAGGAATAACTTCCAGTGTCAGATCAGCGTTTGGTCTGTGAAATGTCAACATTGTTGCTGCTAACAACAGGAGCCAAGTCGAGCCCAAGACGGCGAACAAAACTTGCACACAAAAGGCAACATGCAGCATACAGAAGAACAGAATGGAGGAAAATATTTCACCACAGTGCAGTTTCAAAAACGCTAAACTGTGTGCTTGTTTCTCCGTCAAATCAAACCACAATATATCTTATTTTTCATGTAATGTACATACACTGCACACTGTATAGTACATACAATTATAAATAGTTGGCAGATCCAAAAGAGATGATTACCTGTTGTTTTGTTAGATAGTCTGCGAGAGTATTTAGCAACTTGTAGTAGATTTCAAACCATGGTAAATAACTGCAAGACAGAGAGACAAATACATTATTAATTACAATTATTAACTGTATAAGCTTCTACAATAAACAATTAGGATGTGCTGAATCAAAAACAGATCAGTACTGTGCACTTCTGCTGTATTTAAAAGAACAATAAATTTAGAGAGATTCAGTCTCCTGAAAACAGGACAGTGTCTATAAATAATTTCACCATCTGCTGGACAGTACAAATATAAACAGCATCAAGTTTGTTATGTATAGACTTGCAATATTACTGTGTGTGTGTGTGTGTGTACCTGCTATTGTCAGTGACCTACTGCTTAAAGATCAAATGCATACCGGACATTGATAATGGATTGTGATTCCAGCTACAGCTACTCCAAAGCACAGAGTCATTGTTACATTGAGAAAAAAAAGTAAATGCCATCTAGTCCTTATTATGACATTCTTCGTACCCAGGGCCCTCCGCATGCTTAGAATTCCTGTCATGTCTGCTCTTTCTGTTAAATTCACAGCCCACACGAAGGATAGGTATGAGAGAAACAAAAAAACAATGGAGTTTAGAGGGATGCTAAGGTTTACAAGCATGCTGCTCACAGATGCACAGGCTAAACAAAAATGCAGCCCAAGATGCCTCCTGCTTCCCCCCTTTCTCCACCTCCTCTTTCTGCCCCTCTCTGGGCTTCTTTTTATGCCCTGCACATTTAAAAAAATTATTCGCCTTATGCAGTTAATGTAACATAAATAAATTCATTAACAAGCTCACAATAATTTATACTGCAGTGTTTGTGTTAAAGCTAATCACTAGGTACACCCACCATAAGCTAAAAGCATCTGCAGCATGGCTTTCTTTACAAAGTTGACATATTCTTGGCCAAGTCGACTTGCTTTCTAGGTGGAGGATGGCCAACATTTTCTTTTGGCATAAAAGCTGCAAGGACTCAGTTGATTTAATGTTATGCAATCAAATAATGAAAACATGGTGTCCTATCAAGGTATTGAATTTTTATTTAGTTTGGGGTTTTAACATGCAGTTTTGAACACTTCATGAATAATGATTCTAGATAAGGACTTTTTAGCATTGCAATGAAATAAACAGAAACTCCCATTAATGCTTCATTAACTTGCCTGGACGCAAGGGTTGAAAAATAAATTAGTGGTCAAATGAGCCAATCAATCAAAAGTGGATTTTTACTTGCCCACAAAAGTATTTCTTATTGTCAATAAGTCAACACAGTGTTAAATACAAGTCATTAAGAAAATAATTTAATTCAAATGATAAAGATCTTCAATCTGCAGTCTCTTTGTTATATAATTATAAATTCATAAGAGTTAAGCTTTGATAGAGTGTGAGCCAGTGAAGTCCTGCTTAGGCAGTTGGCTTGAGACCGAGGAGTTTACAGGGCATGGGTCACTGGCTGCTCTGTAGACTGGAATTAACAGACAACAAGAAAACAATAAAGTGAACCTAATGCAAATTTTCATATCGCTAAATCCGCAAGGGGCCAATGACAGGCTGGGTTCCCGGAGAAGTGCAGCCGAGCGCACCAATCAGAGAGGTTGAGTGACCATTAGTCTGAAACAATCAGCCTCTTAACGCGGCAATATTTTGACGTCTGTGTGAAGATTTACCGCAATCAGGTCATACTCACAGGAGAAACTAAATCAAACACGCGTATGTTAATTCATATGCTGACCGGATACCAACCTGAAGACCTATTTCTGCCACGTCAAACTAAATACAGCACAAATATCTGCATATGGGGTCAGTTTACATTTAACAATTACACAAAAAGTTCAGTCTGACATAATGACTTAGGGAGAGAACAAAGCCTTTGTATTATCTGCCTCCTGTATGCCTTGTTTAAAAAGCCAGGCTTCTGGACAGTAATCCATTTTTCACAGTTGACGGGGATGTAAATAGGACTCTCGCTGTCAGAGCAGCCGTCAGGCCTCACAGATCTCACAGTCATTACACTCCTACACCAAGGTGCTGTAAATCCTTTGTTTTAGAGGAAAACGCATGATCGCTGGTGAAGGCAGCCAAATTATCAATATTCTTCTAACACCTTCCTATAATAGGTAATGGGTTTTTATGAGTTATTCAAATGCAATAGAATGACTTTAACTTAAAGATATATTGTTTTGCTCTACTTACACCCCAGCCCCCCCCACCGCCCTCTCTTTGTTGATGCAAAGTTAAAGTTTGGAAAGCTTAGAGAGATACTCCTACTCGTCACAGTTCATTGCTCAGATCTGTTTGTGCTTCGCAAATCCTCCGATAGAGAAAGAGGCATCCATCACTAGAGTGCTCAGTGCGTGGGGGCCCCGCAATCTCTCCTGCCATTTTAAACACATGTCTTCTCAAAGTGCCATGTACTCAAAGAATGAACCAGTTAATCTTCGGCCCACTCACAGACGGTCACGCTCTCCATCCCAGGCTTAGACCACCTAACAGCACGGAAATATCTAATAGATGACGGGCCAATGGAAGTGCCTTTTATTGAACTGACAATTATGCTATTAGGTACAGGTTCACACACAAAAACAAATATAGCTGAAATGTGAAGAAAAAAAATCTAGAGTGAAATAAAACACAACAGTTACTGAATCTCTTTGGACAGTAGACACTACTCCATTTCATTTTTACACCTCAGTAGTTAAGGTGCTTGATTAACACTTTATATATTAGGGCACTTATATCAGCCCTTTTTGCTGCCATAAACTACCTGTTGGGTGCTAGCACGACATTTACTCTTGTTCCTTAGATGAGTTTTAAATCTCCTTTAATGCACAGGCACCTGTAATCGTAAGTCATCTTACACTTTGTACACTTTCGGCTCAGTGGAAGATTTCATTACACCTTTACTTTCTCAGGTTAAGGGTTAAGTACAGGAAAGGAAGTGTCCTCCTGTGACCCACTAAGTGACCACTAACCGGAGCAACGCAGTCCCTAAAATGTATCCTAAAGCCTCAGTCATTAAACAAAACTGAGCAAACATTTTTCATGCCCAGTTTACTCACATGTTCAACAGAAAATCCTTCAAATGTGGGAGACAAAGAATGAGAAAAGGTATAACAGTAAAAAAATAGAGAAAGTTATAATTTTTTTTGGTGTGTTGTTTCTTCTGTTTTTTTTGCCTAAAGGGAGCATAGCCCTTTCGGCCATGGCTTTAGCAATGAGACTACAAAGGGCTGTCCACATAAAACTGTCCTACTCATTAAGGCACTTCCTCCTGTAAGCAGAGGTGACAATTTTACGGTCCCAGCACGTCAACAATCACAGAGACGCAAACAGTTTTAATTACTTTTATCTTATATCCATTGGAAATTATAGACTGAATGCAAAAGAGTGAGTGGGCCTCGGCCTTCATGCTTTAGATTTTAACCAGATACATTTTAATTGATAATTCTTTAAGATAAACAACAAGTTTTTCTCATTTTTCTTTGGTTACCAAGAAATCTGCTGTCTTGCCTAAATAATATGGTAAAATGAGAACACGTTAAAGAATAATAAACAAAGAAAATAAATGTCTGACCAAGGACCTTTAACGCAGGAACTTAATTTACACATTTCTTTGATGAGATATCTAAATGGTTTTTATGCTTTGCAATATTTTTACTTATCTTTGCCCAACACAGTGGGGCTACTTAAGATAAGAAAAGTAAAAAGATCAGGACAAAAAAATTAAGAAAAACCTAACTGGGGAGCACACAAACAATTTTAAATTAACCCTCAAAAAACCTAACAACTTTCTATACAATATTTTATTATAAATGAAGCGAGCCATGCAAACTACTCAGAATGCATAATGAATTTTATACATCATATGTCAAATGAATTAGCATGTCTAACTCAGCGAGAGGGACAGGGGAACCTCTGCTAATTGGCAGTGAAGCTTCATGCATAATTATGGGCCAAGCGTCTTTGCTGTCGCACTGTGGCAGTAGCCGAATAACGAGGAGAAGAGAGAGAGAGAGAGAGAAAGAGAGAGGGACAGAGAGAGAGAAGAAAAAAGAAAAACAAAGGCCATGGAAGCTGGCTGGGAAGGGTGGGTGGTGTGGGGAGGAGGGACACTGTTCTTCACAGCAGCTCATCAGGGCAGCGACAAACCCACGACTGTCCATCAACAGCCACACACATCCAACACACACACACACACACACACGTACAGAGGCGATAGCAGCACCTACAGAAGTCTTGCTTTACACTAACAGAGAAAAAGAAAAAGGCTTTGTGCTTCTTTTCCAGTTTGTTGTTAGTTCATACATTAATTAATAATGCATTTATTTTGTACATTTTCCTCAGTTTATTCTAAAGTGCATAAGCCTGTCCACTGAGATTAGCCCTGGGGTACTCCTTCTTTGTAATGGTAAGGTAATTACATCTGTAAAAACATTGTGTCAACATGCAATTACATGGGAATTAAATGATAATAGCCTTTGTTGGAGAGTAATTATGCAAAGAACATGCAATTTCCCTGGGTTTGGTGTACTCATTTATGTACACTGTGATATGATAAATCCACCTATGAAATATCAAAAACTGCTAAACTTTTGGATAATTATAGGCACATCACTAACATATTTGTGTGGGCAGATGAGACTATAACTTTGTTATTCTGGCATAGCTCAGTGTGAAGTGTGAGAATGAATGGAAATGCAGTCTCAAAAATCTGTGTTCACTTTTAAGATCTTTTAAATTATTTTTTTTAATCATACTTAAGAAATAAATGCAGATTTTAAAATAAAACTGTTCTGAGACATCCATAGATAATTTGTAAAGGGACAGAACAGACCAAGTCTAGCTTATTAAACAAGTAAATAAAGACACTGGTGTTTGAACAAGTCTATTTCCTCCTCAGGAAGTAAAATGTGGAAGGCTGACTTTTATATGCTGGATTTTATGAAATGCCGCATATCTTTTAACACATCCAATTGTCTCTCTTTTGAAATTTGTTTAATTTCTAATGAATTAAATTTGAATATGTTCATGCTTTTAAAAACTACAAAGTGTATGATACCCAGTGTTGAAGACTGTAATAAGATTCAGTGATTTTGAATCAAGAATACAAAGATATATATATACCTTGGAGTGTGAATTTAACAGAAAGGCATAACATGATTTAGTTATGTCTTTTTGTACGCGCGTGTGTGTGTGTGTGTGTGTGTGTTACCTGAGCAGACATATGCAGACCCGGCAGCCTTGAGTGAGTCGACAGAAACCAAACCTCTGTTTGCCGTCAATGTCCGTCAGCACAAAGGTGAAATTCTGCCCCACTTGACTCTGGGAAACCCTGGGGTCGGACAGAAGGTACAAAGACACACACTCAAAAATGGCCAAAGGCACAGAATGACTTAGCAGTCAATTGAGTACAAAAGGGCACAATAAATATATGAAATCTTGTATATTTAAAACACAACATAACAAAAGACAATTTGGTCTAGCTGGATAAGAAACAAATTCATTCTCAGATAAAATCTCACCGCAAGTTAAATCTCTAGACAAGGTCTAAATCTGTCACATATTTCCACTATGGTTGCCTGAAAAACTGTAAAAAGCCTTCTTACCCCAAGGTAAATTTCAGAGAAGCTCTGTACATCCCTACGCCACTAGATGGCAGCAGCTCAGCTTAAGTAAAGACTGTACAGACCTCCCCCCCCCCTTTCTTTTTACAATGGGAATTTTAACATATCATCTTCCATACTAAAATAAGAGGCCGGTACTTTTCAGAGAGCTGCTGGCCTGATCGGACCTATATTACGTAGAAGAAAACACACTTCCTTAGACTCAGGACTCTTTCACACACATGCACTCTTTAACATGCTACTGTGTACGTACGACACATTAAGTGGGCAGGGCACCGATGACCTCATCAGCATCATCCTTAATTAAACTTGTTATCATTATCACCATCGTAATCAGGTGTCCTCACCATGCCAGCATTTACATTTATGGGGTTATTTTGCCAACAGCTGTGTACTTCAGTACAGGTACAGTCAGTACAGACTATGTGTGGAAAAATTTGTTGGGGTTTAAGACCAGAGAAGCTACTTGGAAGCACACCCACAAATACACTGATCATTACACTTTGACTGTTAATAAATCATGGTAATTTCACCATAACACAAATGTGTGATGCACAATACACATGATCTCATTTCCTTTTTCAAATGCATGTGTCTCTGTAGGTGAGAGGAGGGCTTGGTGTCTGTCTTTGTGTGTGTGTGTGTGTGTGTGTGTGTGTGTGTGTGTGTGTGCGTGTGTGCGTGTGTGCAGCGTGTGTGTGTGCGCGCAGTGTGAAGGAGGCTAAAGTGAGCTGCAGTGTTAAAAAAACAAGGAAGCAGAGAGGGAGAGGAATCATACCTTTCCACGTCAAAGGGGAAGCAGAACTTTGGTATCGTCTGAAGGACCTCCTGAGAAACCAGAACAGAGAGAGACACACATACACATCTTTTTAGAGATGCACACATCACGGGAAAAACAAATAATAACCGCGTATTTCAATACAAAAATCTCTTGGGCTTCCACTAAGTGGGTGCTATCAACTGGCTGAACAAAATGAGGATTAATGTTAAATGCTGCTGATAGCAATCTGACAAAGTCTTCACATCCCAAACACTGCAGCCTAAATGCATTTAATCCAAATGAATGGGCATTATAAAGCACTTCATTTGGCAGAACAGGGTGGAAAGGTTCCCTTTTTTTACAAGGATGGAGAGGGATCCTCTATCCACAGCTTGAATAATTAGCACTTAATGAGTTCATCGATTATTGGGTGCCAAGGGGAGATGAAAAGACGAAAGAAGAGAGAGAAAGAAAGAGAGAGAGAGAAGAAGAGAGAGGGGACACGCAACACCAAGACTATGGTGGCAGATTGTAGTGACAATGGGCTAAGCAGCTCTGAGGGGTTAAGAGGTAGGAGGGGGTACAAGCCTTCGGGGCTTTACCTCCCAACACCTCCCTTGTGAGTTGGGGGAGAGTGGGGAGGGTGCACGTCTGCATGCTTTTGAAGCGAGGTGGGAGGAGAGGGGAGGGGAGGGGAGGGAGGGGGCACCTTTCCACCAGCAGCATATGGATTTAGACAGGGAGCAAGAACAGAGCGGAGCACCATATGGGTGAGCCACTCCAGACCAGCCACACAGCCACCAAGTACTGGGTCCTCGCCTCTCTGGCTGCTAACCTGGCCCAGAGTAGGCGCCAGGCACCAGGTCCTTTTTGCCGTCTGTCTTTCTGCTACCTCTCTCTCAGTTCTGGCCAGGCTCTGCCAACCCACAGACTAATCCTGGGGACTGGGTGGCTGTTTGCTCTGCTCTGGCCTCTCTCACTGTCTCTCTCTTTCTCTTGGTTTGCCTGCCAAGCTCGTCCACTGAGCCGAAGGTCTGTCTGTCTCTTCTTTCTGAATGGAGATGTCCGATCAGAGAGTGATGCTGCTGCTCCAGCATCCCACTGTCTACCTCTCACTCTACCTCTCTCTCTCTGCCTCCCCCAGGGACCGATTCTGACGACAGGTTGGGTGTCTTCTGCTGCTGCTGCTGCTGCCTACTGTTGCTAAGACCTCGCCGCGGGGAGCAGTCACTGATCCCCCACCGCCCCTCCTTATCAAAACTTGAAGCTGCCAGCCCAGCACAACACAACCATCACCATAGACAAGCAAGCAGCAGCAACAATGAGCTTTGACAGAAGGAGGAATGAGGGTATCTGTGTGTGTATTTGTGCATTTGAGTGCATGATGTATGTGAGTGCCTGCCTGCTTCAAGGACTTCGTGCATTCAATGTGAGAGGGTGGTTAATGTGTTTGTGTGTGTGGGCGGGTGGCTGAGTTTGACTTGGCTATATGTTTGTGTGTGTGCATGTGCCTACATATGGAGAATACAGAGGGGCGGGAAGGCGAGTCGGGGTGGGTGGGAAGTGCTTGTTTCTACTTTTCAGAATCTGTGATAAAATTGAGAACTCAACAAAAACGGAGGGCTCAGTGGCAGAGGAGGTCTCTGTCTCTGCTGTGGGTGTGTGTGTGTGTGTGTGTGTGTGTGTGTGTGTATACATGTGTGACTGTGTCTTGGCGTGTGCGGCTGTAAAACTGTCACACACATCAGAGCTGCCATCGCTGTATGCGTTTGCTACTATTATTAACCACTATGTACGCACACCAATATGTTCCAGAGAGCCCTCCCTGGCGCACTGCATATGGCAACACAAACCCAAACAGACACGCATGTGTGCACGCACGCACGCACACACACACACACACACACACACACACACACTTGGTTTTCCTGCAAATAAAAACATTTGACTTGCCAGATTTGAGAGTTGTCACAGCCCCGCCCACATCAGTTGTCTGTGTTTGAGTGACAGTCTAGGGGCTGTAGAGACTCTGATCTCATAAAGGACAAGTGGGAAGTGATGTGTTTGTATGTGTGTATAATGTGACATAGAAATAGCATATATATATATATATATATATATATATATATATATATATATATATATACACACACACAAACACACACATTGTAAGCTCCATCAGTCTGTGAACCTCAGGTATGCTGACGCCATACAGTCTATAGTCTATTAAATGGCTAAAGACAACAGAATAAAAATGTCCAGACAGCAGTTTATAAAATAAGATCTACCTTCCTTCTTTATCTACCAATTTTTAGTAATATATTTTAGGGCTGCAATTTATCAAATCATTATCAAATAATCTGTTGATCATCTTCTCGATGTCAAAAAATAGTGTGAAAAAAAGGAAAATATTAATCACTTGTCAGTCAAACTAGTAGCACATCTTTCTGTCAATAGACTAACTTATTAACAGACAAATTGGTTTAGCTCTAATACATTTATATCAATATGACAACTTCTGTTCTTTTCTGACCATGGGACATCTAATCACTAAATGTAATGTTTTGTATGAAGAAAATCCAAACTTTCAAGGGAAACTGCTGAAACATAACCTGACTGCTATAGTGTATGTTAAAGCACGCTTACCAGCAAATACTCAGTCTATAGAAAATTTACTACAAAACCATGCAAATAGTTTTGGTCTTTTTGACATATCCTAATCTGAGATTTCTGCCTCCAACCTAATATAATGGACAAAACAGAATTTAATTGGAAGTGTTCACAGAATTAAAAAAAAATTACATTTTATTCACAGCATGTCCTTTTGGACTCAGTGTCTCCATTAGTCTGGATAATCTACAGACTATGAAAGTAGTTCAATATGCAAAGAGACTGGAATATCTAAAAATATATATTTTATAAAAATCCAACATAAATCTCAAAACTAAAACCAAAACTATCCGCATGGTGCGATACCACTAGGGGTAAGTGAGAAAATATGTTTTTTGGTAATTTGCTTGAATCGACCCTTCATACTGAGCTCAACAGTGTTCCTGTTCCAACACCCCTTTCAGTTTTAACCAAATAGACTGCTTGTATGTGATATGCAACTCATAATCTTTCTTTTCCTCATCTGTCAGTCTGTTTTCGGTTTCCTACATCATACCTGTATTACTGATAACTCTTGTTTCGCATCTGTATTGCTCTTTCCACTTCCCTCCCTCCATGGCTGGGCCCTATACCGTGGGGATATCTAGACAGGAATGGCATGAAGGGTGGGGGGGGGTTGTTCTTCCACAGTCTCTTAGTACAGTAAGCCCCCTACCACACACACACACTCCCCCTGCTTGCCATTTTCCCAAGACAAAAGAAAAAGAAGCAGCTAATATATTTGCAGCTTTGTGAGAGGGGGGGGGGATCTGCTGCAAAGACTGGGCTTGGCAGACACTGGTGTGTGTGTGTGTGTGTGTGTGTGTGTGTGCGTGCGTGCACGCTGTTTATCGTGAGTGGAGACAAGGGTATCACTCAGTGAGACAGAATACTCTGGGTTCCCCCAGCGGACGATCTTGCTATCACTACACCACAACACTACAACAGCACACAGCAGCCCGATACCCCTGCAGAATAGCACGGTTCAGCAGGGGAGAGCAACAAACTTTGCAGCACAGGGCAACAATCTTGCTTTTCTCTACTCTTAAAAAATAAGCCTAAACTTCACTTTTATTAATGTTCTACTCTGACTCTTTAGAAGTAATTGTGGTGGGTTGCATTATATATGGTTCAAGCATACAGCATGTACTTGCGGGATTTGACACATGACAGTTCATACTCTGTGGGCTAGGCGTGACTGTCACTAGCACACATATTCATGGACCTTCCCTCTTGGCCACCCACTAACACTAAAAATGGGAAAACCAGCTTTTAAGATCACAGCAAGTGGACCGAATGAGGCTGAAAAAAAGTGTCCTTTATAAACAGATTAAATGCTAAACTCACCACCAGCCATGGTGTTTCATTTTGGGTGTGAACTTCATGAGCAATATTCGTTTTCCCATATGCTTGCAAATATAGAGGAGAGAGGACGAGGAGTGCTGTAGAGAAATGTGGATGCAAAGAACGAAGGAATGAGGATGGCGTTAAAGGGCAAAATGCTGAAAATAAACTATGAGGCAAAAAGGAAAAGAAAGAGAGAAAGACAGAGGCAGACAGAGAGACTCACAAGAGTGAAAGTCATAAGGAAGGAGAGATGGAAGAGGTATTCAGACGGACACAACAGCAGGAGAAGGGAGGAAAAAAGGGAGGAAGGAAGAAAAGGATGGAGGGAGAGGCAGCTCAGTTCATGCCCCTCTCCCCATGCAGCGAGGACTCCTCCCTGGGGGGACTCAGACTTTAAGCCCCTGCCCTGCTTTATATTCCCATGGCTACTGCAGCCAGATCAATCTAGCGCGCTACCCAGTGTAACTCAACCCAGTTCAGTGCAGCCTGGCCCCCAGGGCCCTCAATACAGGGCTGGTGGCAGGCAAATTTGTAAACGTACCACTGGTATACCCATATTAGAAGTGGACTTTAAAGGTCTATATCAGTGTTTTTGCATGTGTTCGACCATTACTACAATTCACATACACTTTACATTACTGTCAGCTGTTTCAAAGCATGCTGTACTGTTTTAGACGTCTGAATGTGCTTTTTAACTGTATCATCCATCACAATGCACATCGTGGCCGCTTTTATTTTTTGTCTAAGCTAATTTATTATTTCCTGGTAATGCAATTGCAAGTGCAGACTGATTTGAAAAGCCTGCAATGCATTACCACACAAAAATAACATAGGCCAAAATAATACAGACAAGATGTTCACTTTGATGGATAACTCAAGTCTTTGTAAGATGAGTTTTTAATACCACATGGAAATGAATAGAAATCAATTAAAGCTGGGAAGGTAGTAAAACAGATTCAAACACCTAAAACAGCATGGTATGGCTAACCATCTGCATGAGGATTCAACTATGAACTATGCTCAGCTCTGGAGCAGTGTGTCACACACGGTCAACTATTGTGTACAAGGCATT